GCCTTGCTGAGAATGGGCTCTGTGGATCCTGAGCCCCTGTGAAACCCAGGCCTTCATAGCTCACACTGGGCACCCCCAAAAACAGAGGCATTCAGAATTAAAGGCTGCTTTTCCTATTTTGGTTCTGAGCATCTTGGCTAATATCACACAGCAAGCCCATGGCAGGAGCAGAACCAGGTGCCCTGCCCCACCCCCTTCTTCTCTAACCATTAAACCATACTCCCATAGCGAGGAGTAGAACCCAGAGCCCTGACCACTCACTCCTCTTCTTAAACCCATAGATCACAGCCCCCTCTTTAAGCTAGAAGTAGAACCCAGGAGTCCTGACCCCCAGTTCCCTTCTCTAACCATTAGATAACCCTACCCTCCCTCAGCTAGCAATAGACCACAGGCCAGTTCTACCCACTTAATCCCACTCTGCCCCCTGGGCACAGATGGGTTTATCTTGGCAGGTATGTTCTCTGTGGATTGTACAGTGAGCACAATCATCCCACCCTGCCTCTGTCCCAGCGTCTCTAAGCCTTGACTCTGCTCCCTCCCCTTCACTGCATTGCCAGGGAACTGGCAGCATGTGCAGGTTGTTCAAGGGGTTGTTGTTTGGCTGAATGTCGTTAAAAAGGTTAATTTCCCCTCCACGTGTCTGAAAGTCATTCCGGAAGTGGGGGGGGGCGGGTGTTCCAGATCTCCCAGCAGCGCTCCGGTTCATGGGACGGTCCTACTTTGACACCCCCCCAAACCCCCTCTCCTGGTGGAGTGAACATTTCCTGCATTCTTGGTTGCCCAGAGGGGAGGGTCTAAAGGGGCCATTTGCCTTGGGCCCCCAGTTTGAGGGGGGCCCCAAACTCTGTGGCACGGCGACCTGGTGCATGGGTTTGCAGTGCTGCTCAGGTTTGGCCTGCCCGCCCCCGACGCCACCTACGGAGGGGCGGGCGAGCCAAACGTGAGTGGCGTTGTGAGCCCCGGTGCTAGGCTGCAACACCACTCACATTTGGCCCATCCGCCTCCGTCCAAAGAGGGCGAGTGGGCCAAAAACCCGAGTGGCGCGGCGTCCTGCTTTAGCCACCTGAAATGTTGGGGGGGGGGAGAGTTCTCTGTGCAATACCTAGATAAAACGCGCACACGTTACCAAACCACAGGCACAAGTAGGCAGCGGAATAGACCACAGAGCTGAAATTGCCCATCCTGCCAATAGAGGGCCTTACCTCCTAGATTAGGGATGGAGGCACTTTGCCAAGAGACGTCCTGTACCCCGGCTATAAATAGAGACCATCAATCCATTGGTCTATTACCTTCCCCCAGCATGAAATTCACTAAGATCATCCTCTTAAAGGAGCCTCTTCTGCTTCCTGACTGAGCGGCAGGGACGCTAACCCCCCTGTATTGAGATCAAGTCAGTGCTGGGGGTCCGGGAGCTTCTGCAATTATATATTGACCACTGCCCAGGGGTTAGCTCGCAACAGAAGAGGCATCCGAACAAAAAGCAGATGTTTCTGGGAGAAGTGGCGTCTTCTGGTGCCATGGGAGGATCTGCTGTCTACCTGCTGGCTGTGTTTGCATTCAGCTTATCAGCCGTGTCTCACAGCCAGCCGCTGTAAGTAACCCCGGGATTCTAAAGCAACGATCAGTGGAGATCAAAGTGTATGTGTGGGAATGGGGCATTTCCCTGAAGAGACCCTGGCCAAGATTCGCAATAGGGAGTTGGGGTGGGCTGCAGTTTTTAAGCGCCCAACTTGATGCGCTTTGGAGGCCTGATTTTCAGAAGGGTGGGTGCTCTAAATCCCAAGATCCCTTATAAAGGTGCTGAAAACTCAAGGGCCCCAAATGACTAGTCGCTGCTAAAAAGCCTTCAAAAGACAAGTCAGGCCCCCAAAATCCTGGGATTGGCTGGACACTCGCAAGATTTTTATAAAAACAACAAACTGGGGGTTCTTATTTATCTTTGGGTTTCTGAGCCTTTTAGAGTCATGCTCAGGCCATGTTTTCAAGCTTTCGTCCCCGATCAGCAGTGCTAGAAACTTGCATTTGATGTCAACGAAAACCGAGATCCTCACACAGTCGCAGCCCTCCGGGAAGCTGGAGCTTCAAGGCAAACACCAAATCTTGCGAGACTTGCAGTAAACTCATGAGAGTTGGCAACACTGGCCACATGCTCTCAGTTTTGACTCTGCATGTGGGATCAGGCTTGTGGGTGGCTGGCCTGTGAAGGGCTAGAGGCCTGGGGCCAACCAACCCTAATTGCTAAGGTGGCTCAGCTGAGCAGGGGTCAGCTGATTTCCCTCTAAGGAGCTGAGAGCAGCAGGAATGTGCAGAGCGGGAAATTTCTAGGGAAATGGGGCCTTTTATTCTATGAAATGTTAATCCTATTTCAGTGGGATCAGCTCTGTCAGCTACAGTCTCAAGTTCAATAGAGAAAAGGAGGACTTGTGGCACCTTAGAGACTAACCAATTTATTTGAGCCTAAGCTTTCATGAGCTACAGCTCACTTCATATCCGATGAAGTGAGCTGTAGCTCACGAAAGCTCATGCTCAAATAAATTGGTTAGTTTCTAAGGCGCCACAAGTCCTCCTTTTCTTTTTGCAAATACAGACTAACACGGCTGTTACTCTGAAAAAAGTTCAACAGAGAGTTATCTCTGTTTGTTCTGGATCTAGAGTTCATAGGAACACATGAAACCACAGGTAAATAACACCGACAATTACAAGAGCGTCTGCCTTTTAGTAGGTTTCAGAGTAACAGCCGTGTTAGTCTGTATTCGCAAAAAGAAAAGGAGGACTTGTGGCACCTTCGAGACTAACCAATTTATTTGAGCATGAGCTTTCGTGAGCTACAGCTCACTTCATCGGATGCATACCGTGGAAACTGCAGCAGAGTGCTGCCTTTTAGTAGTTTTATTAAAATCACCAGCAAAGTGATAAATGTCACAGCATATACAATTCCTAGAGATAAGTACCATGGACCACTTATACCTACCGACATACCCACATGCTCCTAGATGGTGTTAGTCTGTTGGCCCGCTCATGGGTTGATCGATACGGGATTGGTTCCTGTGGGAGTTTCCCACAGGAAGCTCAATTTTCCTGCTCTGGGCACCCCCAACCCACTCTTTCTTATTTATCTGTGTCTCCTGGAAACACAAGGGACCCCGAATTCTATAGGCCATGTAGATTCTCATTAACGTTGGCGTACCATCTTTATCTTGCGGTTAAGGCATGTGTTAGAGACACTACCTGTTGTTACAGCATTTTATTATTTAAATTTAAGACCTTATACTTTTGGAATATTACCAGTTGGTACCTCTTTCCCGTAAGTTTTCAGGTTATTTCTCGGTCATGGTCTTGCGCCATCATTTCTTGTCTCCAATGTCTAAAATAGCTAAGCTAAAGTTTTGCAGGCCTCAGTCTACAGGTTCTTGCGTTTCAGCTTGTCTTACTCATGTCTACTACTTAGTTCCCCTAAATACTGATCAATCTTATACTTTTATAATCCTACAAATCAACTCCGGTGAACATACAATGAATATATGTAATATAACACATTGATTAATGATAACATCACACAATAAATGGATACTAAACTAAAATCCTTGACTGCAGAGACTAGCACAGAGGCTGTAGGGTGACTAGACTCCAGTGCAGCCAGCTGGGACGTGGAGAGTGGGACAACAGGCAGGAAAAGTCTGGGGGTGACCTGATAAAGAGGTGCGCATGGATGCACTTGAGGAAGGACTGGCAAACTTTATTTTGAAATATTTGTTCATTGAATAAACCCAAACCTGGAATGGGCTGTGAAAGGGCTTGTGAGTTTTTGCAGAAGCCCCTCGAAAGGGGGAAACTGAGGCAGGGGGCTGCCTGCTGGACTGGCTTGAGGCCATGAGGGGATGCGTGGGAGGAGGCCGCCCCACAACAGGGCTGTTGCAATGGGACAGTTCTAAGCACCGAATGTTTGCAAGGGGGAAAGAAGGTGGCCAGAGTTTTGAGTCACCGGGCTGGGTTACCGCACCAGCTGCCCCAAATTTACCCCTGAAATTGACAAGAAATTCAAAGTCAAAGCTGAAGCCAAGGTAAACATCCCTAATACTCAGTTCCTGATCCTGCAAACACTCATGTGCTTAACTTTCCAACTCTGACCCGTCCCTCTCCCAGGCTCAGATTGCTCTCCGGGGCAGGGACTGTCTCTTTGTCGTACAGGTGTACAGAACCTACAACCTGATACCTTCCATTTTTGATCAGGGCCTCTAGGTGCTCCTGTGATACACACAATAAATAATCAGACTGTACGATCTTTGGGGCAGGGACTTTTTGTTTTTTGTTCATACAGCACCTAGCACAATGAAGGGAGGCAGCTCCTATGTACCACTGTAATATACCTATTAAATAATCTGAACTTGCAGATTGCTCCACTGTGATGAGGGCTTCTCCCACTGGAAAAAAAGAAAGAAGATACATTGCAGCCCCTTTCTTGCCTGTGAACATAATTAAAAGAAGCTCTGAAAAACAGGCTAGACATAAAAATAGAGACACAAAGAATGAGAAAGAAAAGCAAAACATATAGGCCAAAAAAAATTATAAAAACACAAGAGGTGCAAGTTGTCTGATTTATTTGCATAATCAAGGCAGGAGACAAAGGTCTTCTCTGTTCTGCTTCTGCGTGTGGGAAGCTATGTCCATATATGTGTGATGTTTATTGGTTGAAACAGGGAACTAGGGGTCAGGACTCCTGAGTTCTATTCTCAGAACAGGGAGGGAATATTGTCCAGCGTTTAGAGCAGAGAACCCAGAAGTCCTAGCTCCTAGCCCAATTCTCAGAACAGCGAGGGAATATTTTCCAGAATTTAGAGCACAAAGACCAGGAGTCAAGACTCCTGGGCTCTACCACTCCTAATTCTATTACTACCCTGTTGTGGGTGAGTCACATGAGCATTTTGTGCCTCAGTTTACCCACCTGGCGGGGTCTGGGGTCAGGGTCTTGGCTGCTCCCCAACCACCAGGCTCCAGCTGCTTACCTTCTGATGGCGGCAAAGATCACTGCTCAAGGTAGCCCAAGCCAGGTGCAAGGTGCTGGAGTTTGGCTGACTCTGCTCTACCATCTCATCTCTTCCCTTACCAGATGCACGCTGATCACTCCAAGTGTCCTGCGCGTGGACAGCGAAGAGATGGTCATTGTGGAAGCTCATGGCCACAGTAGCCCGATCGAGGCGAGGATCACCGTGTATGACTTCCCACAGAGGAAGAGTGCCTTGGTTTCGACCACAGTCAGCCTGAACCCTGGGAACGGCATGATGAATTCTGCCAAAATAAAGGTGGGGCTAGTGGGAGGCTATGCTTATCTGGGCGGGAAACCCTGACCTCTGTCTTATAAGATGGTAAATCAGAAGAGAACTGGATGGTTTGAGGAACAGGTCATGGCATACCAAGCCTTTCCCCCTTAATACTGGGGGGAACCTTTTCCAAAGCACCTAAGTGACTTAGGTGAGGGGAAGGACAGATTGGCTCATGGCTCAGACTGCTCAAGGTAGTCCAAGCCAAAGGCAACCCAGGTGCGGAGAGATGGAGTCTCTGTAAGGGCACTGGTATAAGTCATTGAGTACAGCAGTGACTTCCCAGTTCTACCAATGGCTTTAAAATCTGAGAGTTAGGGTCGTAATGAAAGATCTTCTCCCATGATATAACGATGCTCCAGGTTCCTGCTCAGCTACTGCCAAAGGATGCCCAGAAGAAGCAATATGTCTACATCGAAGCCAAGAGCAGCCTGTTCACCTTAGAGAAGGTGGTTCTGCTTTCACTCCACAGCGGCTACATCTTCATCCAGACAGATAAGACCATCTACACACCTGGGTCTACAGGTCAGTCCCTGGCTGGGGCTTTGCTTCTACCTTTTGTGTCAGCGTCTAAACACATGGGTTAACATTTTCAGAAGTGGCTGCTAATTCTGAGCACCTCCCTTTACTGGGTTACTACTCCTCCCCAAATCCCTCCGCAAGGGCCTCCTTTTCAGTGGGGCTGAATTCAGTGAGGCGGCGTGGGTGAAGAATGTAGCACAAAAAGCCACTTTCAATGCACAACAAGAAGCCAGAGGAACTATGCTACATATTCTGGAGAGTCGTCTTGTCTATGAACTAACCATATTCATATATACAGACATCTCTCATTTAGAGAGGACTCCCGTAACAGCACGTAGCATGTGAACGAAGACAGAAATCGGCCCTTAGAATTGTAGCGCCAAATCAACGCGTTTAAGATGGTTTTGTCAGACTAAGGCACCCACGTTTTTTAACCATTGGAAGTGGTAGATTCTCCATCTCTTGATGTCCTCAGATCGGGTTACCATACTGCAAGTTCCCAAACGCAGGACACTGCCGGGGGGAAGAGCGAGCTGGAGGGGGAGGGGAATATTGCAGCCGTCGCTCTCCGGCTGCCCACCCCTGAAGGTGGCACAGAAGTAAGTGGGGCGATACCGTACCAGGCCACCCTTACTTCTGTGCTGCTTCTGGTGCTGCCTTCGTAGCTGGGCGCCCGGCCAGCAGCTGCTGGTGCTGAAAAGGTTCTAACAATCTGGAGCCGAGGGACTCCGGGTCCTCCAGTCCCCGCGCCCCCTTCCCTGTCCAGGTCAAGTGTTCTCTGTCAACCTCTCGAAAAACACCCAGTTGCACGGGCTCCGCAGCGTTAGCACTGAGCAATGGTAAATGTGAAGGGGTGGGGGTCGTGTTGTGAAACTCTGGACTAGGCAATGACAGGGGTCCCTTCTAGCCTTAACATCGAATAGATGTCGATGCTCTGGAACTGCTCCCTACGAAGCCGGTCAGGACTCTGGGGCAGTCGCCTTCCTGTGAGCAGCCTGTCTTCAGGGCACAAAGCTCACACAGCTTCCACCTTCCTGGGTCTGACCTCGGAGCATTCAGCATCCTCTGCCCCCCCGTGCGCTTCCCCCAGCGAGTCCGCTCAGGCGGGGTCCTGGGGAAGCCAGAGGGTCCTGCCCCCCAACTCCGCAATCAGACGGGACTCTCAGCCAGCCAGTAAAACAAAGGTTTATTAGATGCCAGGAACATGGTCTAAACAGAGCCTGTAAGTGCAGAGAACCGGACCCCTCAGCTGGGTCCATTTTGGGGGGCAGTGAGCCAGACAACCACGTCTGCCCTTCACTCCATGTCTCCAGCCAGCCCCAAACTGAAACTCCATCCAGCCCCTCCTCTTCTGCGCTTTGTCCCTTAACTGGGCCAGGAGGTCACCTGATCCCTTTGTTCTCCAACCCTTTAGCTCTCACCTTGCAGGGGGGAAGGGCCAGGCCATCAGTGGCCAGGAAACAGGGTGTCGGCCATTCTCTGTGTCCAGACCCCTGCACACCGCTGCCCTCTAGGGCTCTGCAGTGATCATACACCCTTACCCTACCCCCTAGATACTTAAGAACTGCATAAGGGAAACTGAGGCACCCCCACACTATTCAGAGGAAACATTAAGAACAGTCCCACTTCGTCACAACTGAGCAATGGTAAATGTAATGGGGTGGGGGTCGTGTTGTGAAACTCTGGACTAGGCAATGACAGTTGGTCCCTTCTAGCCTTAACATCGAATAGATGTCGATGCTAGTTCCTGGGCTAGGTCCCATTATTGCCCCAATTGCCCCTGCCTGTGCCGACTGACTGCCCCATCTTTCTCTTTCGGTAGTGAGGTACCGGCTTTTCACTGTGGGTCACATGTTGGACCCCATCTTCAAGGTGGTATCTGTGGAGCTCATGGTAAGATGTTTTCTATTTACCCAGCTTTCCTCCTCTGCGGATCTCTCTGCTTCACTTCCTTTCATGGACTAGCAAGCCTAGAGGCCAGGAGGTTGCGCTAACTGCTTGTCACGGGTGGCAGGCCCTTTAAGGGGCGTTAGATCCAGTCCTGCCTGTGACTAACCAGCTGTCTCCCAGCTGATGCCCAGCCCCTGAGGCTCTGGATCTGGTGATAGCTTGTCGGTCTTCTGGTCCAATAGAAGCCAGCAAGTAGCTCAGTTGAGAGGGAGGACTCTGGGCTGCAACAGGAGACCCTGGATCAGAGAAGGGACCCAGAACCGGGCTCGCTGCATCCCAGTGAGGTGAAAAACCAGGCTGAGGGTAGCTGCTGTAGGAGCAGTGGGAGAGGACAGGTACCTGTTCTGGTTGGCATTGAACTGTGGATGAAACGTAAATGTGTCCCTGGGAAAAGGGACCGAAATACCCGGGCTGGAGGGAGCTTCCTGGATGTAGCTGGCTGGTGAGTTGGCCTGGTCCGTGACTGGGGCTCCTAGGCACTACAGTAATACACCTAATAAATAATGTACAGCGCCTTGCACGGTGGTTTCAGACTGATTCTTTCTGGTGCTTGGTTTCAGAATCCGGATGGGATTATTGTAGAGAAGAACATGGTGTCCTCGATGGACCAAGGTGGCATCATCTCCAGGAGCTACAAGATCCCTGATATCGTGAAGTAAGCTGTAACAGTCGGGGGAAGGTGGTTATAATAGGATCTTCGTATACTTCCTGAGCTACAAGGACCAGCTTTCTTAGCCAAGGCTGTAGCAGGCACCTCAATCTCTGCATGAGCCCTCACCACCACTAGAAGGGGACAGAGTACCACACAGAGTGGGCGTGGCTTAGACACTAAGTGGGAGTGGCTTCCGCACATCCGCGTTCCAATGTGTTTTTGTTGCACTTTGCCACCATATTTTCTGTACAATAATCACCCATTTTTTACTTCTGTTTCCAAAGGGTTTGTTTTTTTTAATGTTGCAGGTTCCAGTTAATGAAAGCATGCCTCTATCTATTTACTTGTCAGCTTCCCCCATCCCTAGGATACCTGACTGCATTATGATAGTCTCACAACACCCCAGGGAGGTGTCAAAATATTAGTATTCCCATTTTGCAGATGGGAAAACTGAGGCTCAGAGAGATTTAAGGTTCAGATTTTTCAAGCGCTTAGTACTCATCTGCTCCTAGTATGGCCAGATTTGTATCAAAAGAGCCCAGGACAAGTTGTGCCTAAATGGGAGCTGAGCTTGAGCTCTGCTGGAAAATCTGTCCCTCGGGAACTTGTCCAAGGTCACACATGGTGTCTGTGGCAGGGCTGGGTGTGGGACCCAAAGCCCCCACTGCTCTAACACCCTGGACCCCACTCCTCTCCCAGAGCTGGGACTAGAACCCAGCTGTACTGATTTCCAGCCCCCACCTCTCTAACCACTAGACCCCACTCCCCTCCCCAAACCGGGATAGAACCCAGGCATCCTAGCTCCCAGCCCCCCTGCTCTAACCCACTCAACCACACTCCTCTGCCAGAGCTGAAAACATAATGAAGGAGCCCTGACTCCCAGCCCCCTGCTCTCACCACTGTACCCCATTCCCCTCCCAGAATAGAAAACAGAATGCCAATCTCCTGAGTCCCAGCCCAGTGCTTTAGCTCCACTAGCATACCACACCAGCCTGACTGAGCTAGATAGATCCTGCTCCCCACCGCATGGTCTGGGCTTGTGTCTTGCAGCAGCGGAGTGTGGAAGATTGTCTCCAAGTACGAGCATGCCTCTCAGGAGGCCTTCACCGCCGAGTTTGAAGTCAAGGAATACGGTACCTGCCCTGCCCCTAACAGGAGGGTGTTTCCTTATCGCAGCTGAATGGCTGGCTGGTTTCGGGATCCAGGAAGAATTTCTATCCCTTCCACTCCCACCTCCCGGGCACAGTGGGAAGAACTTTGGGGAGGCCCTTTTCGATGAGGGTCCGTGTGACAGTGGAACCTCTTAGGGCACTGAGCAGAGGGGGTGTTGTGGTCCAGTCCTACAGGGTGAGCAGGGACAGGAGCCCGAAGATTGCCTGAGTTTTGGGGTGAGCTGCAGGCTGTGTAAGGCCTCAATCCTTCACACCTTCTAGGTGGTTTTTAAGCCCCATCAGCCACCTCTTCAGGAATAAGAGAGAGAATAGGGACATGCCAGGAGCTGCAGACCAGCTGCAGCAGCTAGAGGTTAAATTAGCCCCCCTGTCAGGCTCGCCTCTCACTGAAAGAGAAGAGCATGCTGGGAAAAAGCCTGACGTAGCAGCAGAGGACCACAGTCCTAGAGGAAGCACCTCTTAGTGGTGCCTTTCTGAGGGCCAGCTACCTATGGGGAGAGCATCCCGAGAGACCCAGCACCTGAGGTGTCCGAATCAATCCCAACCTTCCGATTCCCTTCGTTGATCCATCTCTCCATAGCTTATGGCCATCAGCTGCTTCCTGGGAGAGTCTCTCCCTCTCCCACTGTGTATCTTGGACACCTAGGACCCCGTGGGGGTTGTGACCTCCAGCCAGATGGCCCCGGGCCCTCGGGTGACTGTTTCGGTGTCTCCGATCTTTTGCAGTGCTGCCTAGTTTCGAAGTGACCCTGGAGCCTTCCCAGAAGTTCTTCCTTGTTGACCAGAATGAGCTTAGCATCGACATTACAGCCAAGTGGGTCCCCCTCTTTCTCTCTGGCGTTTCTGCTGTGATTCAGAGCTGCGGGGCAGACTTCTGGGGCTTGCGCATGAAGTATATAATCTCCTGGGCTAACGGTCGGCTCACATCCTGACCTATTCTAATCTGCACTCATCTGTGTCTCCAGTAGGGTGACCAGACAGCAAATGTGAAAAATCGGGATGGGGTGGGGGGTAATAGGAGCCTATATAAGAAAAAGATCCCAAAATCGAGACTGTCCCTATAAATCGGGACATCTGGTCACCCTAGTCTCCAGACACCTGCTGCTCCTTTGTAGTCCACTTATTTCTCCTGTTAATGGCCTCAGTGCTGGAGTCCGTTGGTTACCTGCTGTGTCTCTCCCTGGGGGCTACTCCACATAAGTGGATAACAGCCTACTATCGCTACCAGCGAGTGGATTTACTTCTTTCACTCAAATGGTTCAGGCTTTGTGTCCTGATGCTCACCAGCCCCTCTGTGCCTCAATTTCTTCTATCCATTAAATAGGAGTAATGCTGAGTATTTTCTCTTCCTGCCACGGTCTGTTTTCCACGCAGGTTCCTATATGGGAAGCCAGTTCAAGGCCAAGCCTATGCGCTCTTTGGAGTGATGGTGGATAATGAGAAAAAGAGCATCGTGAACTCACTCAACAAAGTCCCGGTGAGAACCCTGCCCCTGAACGTAGCTTTCTGGCTACGATACACTGATGGGGCTGTAGTGGAGCAGGGTGCTTTTGGGGATATCTGCTCTGCTTTCAGAGTCCGAGATAAGAGCAGGAGCCAAAGGTAGAGTTTCGATCCATATCCAAATACAGCAAATATCCTGTCTCCGGCAACGTATAGCAAATGGGGGAAAAGGGGAAATAGGTAGCAATTAATATAAATTAGAAGTTTTGAAGGATAGAAAATTGATAAGGGAAGCTAAAGACAGCTGGGAAAAATCCATGGCTGGCAGAGCTAAGAACAATAAGGAGTATTTTAAAGTATATTAAGAACAAAAATATCCTAGCAGTGGTACAGCCCATAACTAGATGGAGATGGTAAAACTGAAAGAAGGAAAGAAAAGGGCCAGGTGATGGAAACGTTATTTTCCTGTCAATTTCAGATCAAGGATGGCAAAGGCTGTGCTAAGCTAACCAAAGAAATGTTGCGTAGCAGGTTCCCCAGACCCAGCGAGCTTCTCGGTCACTCAATCTATGTGACAGTGACAGTGCTGACGGACACAGGTAACGGAGTGGTTCCCTTGGCTGGTTGCTGGGTTTTCAGACCAGAGCAGAGCTTAAGTGATGCATGGCTAACCCCAGCAGGCTTGGCACACGGCTGTGGCCTTCTGATCTTTCCAGTGCCTCTGTTACTGGGGATAGGGGAAGCACAGGGCTGGGTTTTGCTTTGTATCCTAAAAGCAGCAAAACATGGGCTCATCTTCATCGCTGTTGTGTTTCAAACCTCAGAGTTCCTGTTCTCTGTATTACAGCAGAACCCCAGCTGAGATCAGGCCCCCGGTGCCGGTCGCTGCCCAGACACACAGGGAGAGACAGTCTCTGCCCCAGCTGAGATCAGGCCCCCGGTGCCGGTCGCTGCCCGGACACACAGGGAGAGACAGTCTCTGCCCCCGCTGAGATCAGGCCCCCGGTGCCGGTCGCTGCCCGGACACACAGGGAGAGGCGGTCTCTGCCCCAGCTGAGATCAGGGTCCCTGGTGCCGGTCGCTGCCCAGACACACAGGGAGAGACAGTCTCTGCCCCAGCTGAGATCAGGGTCCCTAGTGCCGGTCGCTGCCCAGACACACAGGGAGAGACAGTCTCTGCCCCCGCTGAGATCAGGCCCCCGGTGCCGGTCGCTGCCCAGACACACAGGGAGAGACAGTCTCTGCCCCAGCTGAGATCAGGCCCCCGGTGCCGGTCGCTGCCCGGACACACAGGGAGAGACAGTCTCTGCCCCTGCTGAGATCAGGGTCCCCGGTGCCGGTCGCTGCCCAGACACACAGGGAGAGACAGTCTCTGCCCCTGCTGAGATCAGGCCCCTGGTGCCGGTCGCTGCCCAGACACACAGTTCCCGCCCTGGATAGCTCACAGTCTAAACAGACAGAGGAACGATCACTATCCCCATTTGATGTATGGTGAGCTGAGACCCAGAGCGATGAATAACTTGCTCAAGGTCACACACAGGAGTTGGTGACAAAGCCAGGCCTTGAACCCAGATCCCCTGAGTCCCAGTCCAGCCATCATCTCAAGACCACACTTCTTCTTCTTTTTTTTTTTTAATCCCCAAGGGAGTGACATGGTGGAGGCTGAGAAATCCGGGATCCACATTGTGACCTCTCCCTACAAAATCCTCTTCTCCAGATCTGCTACGTACTTCAAACCCGGGCTGCCCTTTAACCTGGTGGTACGTCCAGCCTGTGGCATTGCCGACATATAACCTTCATAGTGTTATCTTACAGCCTGATATGGCTAGCACACAGATCTGCATGCCATTGGAGAGCAGGGATGATTCGCTTTCTAAGGGTGTACAGCGTGAGAGCCTCTCTTTAGTGGTTCACAAGAAATCCTACCTGGAAGTGGTCATTGGAGCAGGCAAAAAGAGACTGGTGTCTGCATTGCAACCACCACTAGTGCAGGCTGGCCCCACTGGGCATGGCTCAGCATAGAGGCCCAGGATTGACTGAGCTCCCCTTAAGTGGAGGGTGTGCAGGGTTATTTGAGCAGCGTTGTTGTCATAGGTACAACCAGGACAAACAACCGTCTTGCTCCCAGCATCAGGGGCCTGCCGAGAGCCAGGCTTTGTAACTGACCAGATCCAGCACAGGGGAGGATGCTGACCTGCAGGTTACATGCCTGGGCTGGGAGTATGTGGAGAACATCAGGCTCCAACGAGACCTACCGGGCACCGTCAACCGTCACTAAGTTCACATCCATCCTCTCTCCTGTCATCTGCTGCCCAGGTCTCCGTGGTGAACGCAGACGGGTCCCCCGCCTCCCAGGTCCCCGTGCGCAGCGGGACAGGTGCCAGCGGTTTGACACAGGCTGACGGGACAGTGCAGCTGGCGATCAACACTCCAGCAGATGCATCTCAATTCTCAGTGAAGGTGCATGTCAGGTCACTTGGGGCAGGATGCTCCTTGGGTCCTGGTGCTGGTTCCCTACCCGTTCTGTTGATGATGGAAGTGGACCAGATTGGGGAGAGGTCTGATCTAGGCCCCTACAGGTCCTGGGCTCCGGCCAATGTCAAAGGAAGGAGGCAACTGGGTCTGATTCTCTATTGCTCATCCCACCTAAGACCCACCCGCAGAGCAATGGGCCTTCCTGACTGACATAGCCCTGCCTTCTCCCCTCTAGACCCCAGTGCCAGGGGCACGCTGGAGAAGGGAGATGCCACGGCTGCTGCGCTCTGGCTAGTCTCTGCTTGTGGTGGCCCATAGGGGTTGTTGGGAGCAGAGGGTAGGTCAAAGCAGGCCTAAGGCTGCTCTAAACTGAAACTGGGGTCCGGGCCCAAGATGCAGGGACCACAAAGATGGCTTAAATCCACATCGGGCCGGCAAGATCCCAACTATCTAGTGCTGGCCCCATGTAAGTCAGTGGGAATTCTGCCATTGACTCCAGCCGTGTCAGGAGCTGGCCCCTTTTAGACCTGGTCCTTAGCTGTCTCTGACGAAGAAAGTCTGTTGACCGTCCCCCATTGTCCCGCAGGTGGAAACTGTGGTTGCCAACCTCCGGCAGGAGCATCAGAGCTCGGCAGTCTGGGCCATGGTAGCCTACAGGTCGCAAGGGGGCTCGAGGAACTACCTGCACATTTCGGTACCGGCCACTCAGCTCCAGCCGGGGAACGCCCTGCCTGTGAGCTTCAGCTTGCGGAACAGTGACGCTGGCATTCAGGGGCAGATCCACTATTTCACCTACCTGGTAAGAGGCAGCATCTCTGTGTGCGCAGCAGGGGAGGAGGAGGTGACAGGGGGCTGGCAGTCTGGACTCCTGGGGTCTAGTCCCAGGACTGGGCGGGGAGTGGAGTCTAGGACTCCGGGGTTTCCTTCCTGGCTGTATGTGATTTTGTGCTAACGGTATCATGGAGACTCATCCAGTGACAGTGAATGCCTTCTGCTTCCCCATCAGATCCTGAACAAAGGGAAGATCATCCAGGCTGGAAGGCAGGCCAGGCAAGCGGGACAAACTCTGGTGACCATGTTCCTGCCCATCACCCCAGACCTCATCCCTTCTTTCCGAATCGTGGCTTACTACCACGTAGGGCAGAAGGAGATCGTGGCAGACTCGATCTGGTTGGACATCCAGGACTCCTGTATGGGAACGGTGGGTTGATCTTCTCTCTGGTACTTACGTCAATATATTTAAATAACCTGCTGGATTCTGGTTGAGAGAGGAGAGCAGGTTCCCAGCGGGAGAAATGGTGAGCTATTCCCAGGGTAGATCTGACTCAGTCCTTACTCGCTGATTAAACATAAGATAGATAGGGACATTCTCGCCTCACGCTTACACCAGGGTATAACTCTACTGGCTTCAGTGGAGTGACTCCTGATTTACACCCCATGGAGGCAAAAGGAGAATCAGGCCCTCTGTGTTTCCTCAGGCACAGCTCTCCCTGGTGACAGGAGCAGAACTGTCAAAAAGGTTCCCGTTCTGCTCAGGAACAAACCAGAGATCTTGCAGTCTTTCACAAAAAAGATCAGAGCAAGACCACCCCCACCCTGGTATCCAGGGCGCTCACCTGGGCTGGGGGGGGGGGGGGGCATGGGTCCAAGTCTCTGCTCTGAAAGAGGGATGTGAACCTGAGGGTCCCATATCCCACTGGGCTGGTCTCAGCTCTGTTCCATTTCATGTAGATAACTAAATCTTCACTGGAGGAGAGCAAAAGATGTCTACCCAATGGTTAGGGCACTCCCCTGGTATATGGGAGACCCATTTCAAGCCCCTCCGCCAACTTGGGCAGAGCAGTGATTTGAACTTTATTAGCTCTTTTGGGGTCTCTCTCTCTCTCTCGCTGTCTCATTTTGAGCAGAAATTACACGCTACCTGAGAATCTTTCTCCGCAGAAAGGACGCGCCCCTTGCCCAAGAGATGGTTTGCCTTTGACAGATTAGGATTGTTTTTTGATGGAAAACCATTTCATTGAAAAGTTCCCATTCAATGCTGCCTGAGAAAGGGATTGGCTCAAGTCTCCTCCACTTCTAACTGCTAGGGTAGCGCTTCTTTAGCTCCAGTGGGTGATGCCTGTGTTTCTACAGCCCAAGGAGCGGGGTTCAAATCCCAGGGGCAGTGTGGGGATTCCATACCCTGGGAGCCCCATGGCCATGGGGAGGTCTCCCCATTCAGCAGTCACCCTCACGTGGCTGATTCATTCTTTCCTCTCGTCTCCATGAAAGCTGAAGGTAACAGGTGCGACGGAGCAAGACAACGATGTCCAGGCGCCGGGTGGGAAGATGAATCTCCGAGTGAAGGGAGATCCCGGCGCCAGGGTCGGGCTCGTGGCTGTGGATAAAGCTGTTTATGTGTTAAACAGGAAATATAAATTCTCCCAAGCCAAGGTGAGCGTACCAGCAGGGGGTGGTTGGGCATGGGGACCGAACCGGGGACCTGTGTGTCCACCCCTGGAGGAGGCCAGAGTACCGCCTGCAGTGGGGGATGGGCTATATGAGAGGCTGAGGTCTCTATACCTCTGGTGATGGAGGGGAGTGGGGTCTAGTGGTTAGAGCAGAGGGCCTGGGAGTCAGGACTCCTGGGTTCTGTTCCTGGCTCTGGGAAGGGAGTGGGGCCTGGTGGGTGAGAGCTGTGGAGGCTAGGAGTCAGGACCCTTGGGGTCTTTCCCAAGCTCATAGAGGGGAATGGGGTTTAGTGGTTTTAGGGGACTGGGGGGTTCTATTCCTGGCTCTGGGTGGGAAGTGGTGCCTAGTGGTTAGAGCGGGGCAAGATTGGGGGCTGGGCTGGGAGGTAGGAGTCCTGGGTTCCATTCCCAGCTCTGACACGGATGCCCATCAGGGAGAGGGTGTTGACTGCAGGAGGATTTTAGGGCTGGCATGACCTGTGAAGCTCGATTCCCCACTACCCCCATGATGGGTCTGAGGGAGGACGACTGCCCGGTTTCATCCACGGGAGGATCAAATTGAACGGACTGGGGGGAGGCCTAAAGGAAGGTTGTGAGCTGGCTTTGTGTGTGCGCGTGAGCATTGCTGCCCCCTGCTGTCTGGACTTGGAGCTGCTCCACCATGTGTTCTCGACCTACAGGCATGCCCAGGCCTGGTGGGCTCCGGTGCTGCATTAAAGCGCTGGTTTCTTTGGGAGGGGTTGAATCCTACTGCTGCCAGTCTGCTTGTGGGGTTCAAGGTCTGACTAGTTTCAGAGTAGCAGCCGTGTTAGTCTGTATCCGCAAAAAGAAAAGGAGGACTTGTGGCACCTTAGAGACTAACCAATTTATTAGTGCATAAGCTTTCGTGGGCTACAGCTCACTTCATCAGATGCATACAGAGGAAAATACAGTGGGGAGATTTTATATACACGGAGAACATGAAACAATGGGTGTTACCATACAGCCTGTATCAAGAGTGATCAGGAAAGGTGAGCTATGACCAGCAGGGGGGGTGGGGGTGGGGGGAGCCTTTGGAAGTGATAATCAAGGTGGGCCATTTCCAGCAGTTGACAAGAACAGTCGGAGGGGAAATAAACAAGGGGAAATAGTTTTACTTTGTGTAATGACGCATCCACTCTCAGGCTCTGTTCAAGCCTCAGTTAATTGTATCCAGTTTGCAAATTAATTCCAATTCCGCAGTCTCTCGTTGGAGTCTGTTTTTGAAGGCTTTTTGTTGAAGAATTGCCACTTTTAGGTCTGTAATCGAGTGACCAGAGAGATTGAAGTGTTCTCCGACTGGTTTTTGACTGTTACAATTCTTGACGTCTGATTTGTGTCCATTTATTCTTTTGCGTAGAGACTGTCTGGTTTGGCCAATGTACATGGCAGAGGGGCATTGCTGGCAGTTGATGGCATAGATCACATTGGTAGATGCGCAGGTGAACGAGCCTCTGATAGTGTGGCTGATGTGATTAGGTCCTATGATGGCGTCCCCTGAATAGATATGTGGACACAATTGGCAACGAGCTTTGTTGCAAGGATAGGTTCCTGGGTTAGTGGTTCTGTTGTGTGGTGTGTGGTTGCTGGTGAGTATTTGCTTCAGGTTGGGGGGCTGTCTGTAGGCAAGGACTGGCCTATCTCCCAAGATCTGTGAGAGTGATGGGTCATCCTTCAGGATAGGTTGTAGATCCTTGATGATGCGTTGGAGAGGTTTTAGCTGGAGGCTGAAGGTGATGGCTAGTGGCGTTCTGTTATTTTCTTTGTTGGGCCTGTCCTGTAGTAGGTAACTTTTGGGTACTCTTCTGGCTCGTCCCTTCTGATCTGAACCTCTATGAATCTACCCTAGGTACTTATGAAAGCGGAGGGGAATGGTCCCGCTATTGTGAGGAACTTTTCTGGCTTCTACACTACCCCAGTGAAATGGGCTCGCGGAAAGATCTGAGTCCTCGCTCCCACTTCCTTTATCCAGAGGTCTCCCTGCCCTCAAGGACTCCCCTTCCACTCTCCTGTCTGGCAGAGTCCTCGTCACCCCAACAAGGCTGGGCCCAGGATTCCTGGGGGGGCTCGACCCCCAACCTTGCTGTGGTCATCCAGGACAGGGGCTAGGGTGTCCCCACTCCGGGGTGCTCTCTCTGTGCTGGACACTTCACTGATCACTGCATACAATTTAAAGCAAATACAATTTATTTAGTCAGCAATTAGTTTAAAAAGGAATAAGGAAAAATGGAAACGGTTAAAGGAAAACTCATCACCCTGCTCTGTGGCAGGGAACGTTACAAACAGGGTCTCTGGGATGTCAGGGCAGTTCACAGTCTGCTCCTTGTAGGTCCCAGGCCCCTTCTCCGGCCCTGGCTGTGCTGCAGGGATGCTGTGGGTTGGACACTTGCTCTGGCGGTGGCCACACGCTCTCAGGCTCTAAGTGGCAGGACTCTTCTTCCCAGCGTCGCCCCTGCCCCGTCGGGGTTACGATCCCCCTCCACGTCTGCCCTGCAGGGCCCCTTGGCTGGGGACATCTCCCTGCACTGGGCCTGCTGCCCAGGGTCCCCCTCACTCCCCCCAGCTGCTCACCGCACCCAGCTCCGGACTGCTCCAGCTCCAGCCCCACCACTCAGTCTCTGCTGGGCTGCTGCTTCTGCTCTGCCTCCAGCTCCCTGGGCTGCTTCTCTGGCCCGTCTGGCTCTGGTTGGTGCAGCTCTGCTCCCAGGGTCTGCTCTCCCTGGCCTGTGTCTCTGGCTCTGGGGCTGCAGCCCTGCTCTGGATCGCTCTGGATCTGGCCCAGCTCTGCTCCCCAGCTCAGCTTGGGCCCCTGCTTTCTCCTTAGCTCGGCCCCACTCTGACTGACCCAGACAATTCCAGCTCACATGGAGGAGGGAACCCACCCTGGCCTCCTGACTCCCTGATTATCCTGCCTGCCCTGTCAATCAGGCTGACCTGGAGCATTGGCCTCTCCCTTTTTGGTAGTGGGAGCTAACCAACCAAAACACCTCCACTGAATGTTAGTAAGGGGACAACCCCTTACACTTACAGGGCCATAATTACTGTAGGACCTGAGCGTCTCATAATCTGTTATCCCCATGGTACAGATGGGGAAACTGAGGCCCAGAGAGGCTAAGTGACTTACCCAAGGTCACCCAGGGAGTCTGGGGCAGAGCAGGGAATGGCATCGTGTCCCCTCTCTTGTCTCTCCAGATCTGGGACGCAGTGGAGAAGAGTGACATCGGCTGCACGCCCGGCAGCGGCAAGGACCACGTCGGGGTGTTTGCGGACGCTGGGCTGCTGCTTCAGACCAACGTTGGCATTGAGACGCCCCAGCGGGCAGGTGACCCGGTCGTGCCACAGGGCTCTCCAGTGCAGGGCAGCATGGGATCGAGCCCGCTGCTCATACCGCGTGGGAACAGAGCGAATACAGCCCCAGAAGTCCCTTTATTAAGTCCCCCCTTTCCCCCGGCGGTACAACCCAGCCTGGTCTTTTAGGGCAGTGGTTCTCAACAAGGTTTCAGGGGGGCCGCCAAGTAGGGCCAGAGTTAGACTTGCTGGGGTCCAGGACAGAAAGCCAACGCCTCACTGCATGGGACTGAAGCCCGGGGCCCCAAGTCCCGCCACCCGGGGCTGAAGCTGAAGCCTAAGCAATGTAGTTTCGTGGGGGCCCCTGTGGCATGGGGCCCTGGGCAACTGCCCTGCTTCCTACCCCCTAACGCCAGCCCTGGCTTTTATATGCAGAAAACCAGTTCTTGTGGCACAGGGGGGCCGTGGAGTTTTTATAGCGTGTCGGGAGGGGCTCAGGAAGGAAAAGGTCGAGAACCCCTCTCTAGGGGGTGCTGGGTTGCAGGGAGCAGGGTGGAGTATCAGTAGGAGGCGCTCTTCCCTCTGAATCAGCGCTGACCCCAATGCCCCAGCACTGTGCTACCAGAGGTGGGAGAACCGTGAAACCAAGACCAGGAAAGAGCCACAGCGTTTCTCCCCTGAGCCGGACTAATGCCACATCCCCACGACACTGACGTGTGTTACTCTCTCTTGCCAGAGTCCCGCTGCTCCCAGCCCGCTCGGCTTCGGCGCTCGCCCCTGATCTCAGGGAGAAAAGCTGCCAAAGGTAGGTGCCCCTCTGCACGGCCTCGCCCGGGCACGCACTCTCGTGCCCTCAGCTTGCACGGACTCGCACGCCCTCTGCTTGCACGGACTCGCACGCCCTCTGCTTGCAGGCACTCTCGTGCCCTCTGCTTGCACGCCCTTGCACGCCCTTTGCATGTGCCCCCTTCACGCTGCTGCTCTCGCACGCACCCTCTCCCTCTCTCGCGCCCAGGCCGCGCGCTGAGGGGGCCCTGCTTTCCCGCAGCGAGGCAGTATCCAAGCCAGCGCCTGCGGAAGTGCTGCCAGGACGGCATGCAAGAGAACCCCATGGGCTACTCTTGCGACCGACGAGCCAAGTACATCCTGGAGGGCGGCGAGTGCATCCAAGCCTTTCTCGACTGCTGCAAGCACATCTTCAACAGGCCCCTCCAGGTCCACAGGAAGTTCCTGTTCTCAAAGCACGTGTTAGGTAAGACTCCGTCTGCACTAGGGGATATGGGTTGCAACAGTGATTAGTGTCGCCTGCACTAGGAGAGCTGGGATCTCGTAAGAAGTTTGAGTCTGTTGTGTCCGCCAGCTAATGGGCTCAAACAGCAGCCTAAGGGACTCCTTGCCACAGTATATTAGCGCCAGGGGTAAAAGCTCACATTTTTAGCACCGCTGGTCCAGGGTTCAAACCCCCAGTCGGGCCTATTACGTTAGCCTGGCTGTAACACACCAGGCATGCGGGCCCCGTAGCTTCCAGGGAAACCCAGGAATTCCCACCCATCACTGGGCTCGCTCTGGCTCAGGGCTGGGCTGACTCCCTGTTTCGCTCCCCCTCAGCGGCATCCGTTCCTGTGATGGCCCCCAGGAGGAGCCAGGAGCCTGTGGCTGAAGTCGCAGAGGACGGGGAGTACCTGGCGGACGAGGACATCGTCTCCAGGAGCCAGTTTGCCGAGAGCTGGCTCTGGCAAATGGAGCTGCTGCCGCAGGAGGCCGAGTCGGACGGGTACGGGTCACACCGCTCGAGGGCGAAGGAGAAACACTGAGGGGCAGATTCATCCTGGTGCAGGCTGGGCTTCCCATATTCCATGTTGCCCCCTCCGGGGCTTTGCAGGGGCACCCGATACCCAGAGCATGGGTGTTCTCTGGCCCCGCCCCTTTCCTCTCCCAGTCTGGCCACGCCCCTTTCCTCTCCCAGTCTAGTCCCTCCCTGCTTGGCCTTCCCCATGCCCTGCCTCCACTCGCACTCAGACCCGGGGGGGCGGTCTTGTCTCTGCAGCCAGAAGGGTCCCCCAACCTGATCAGTTCTGCTCCCGTCTCCTCTAGGCTGGCTTCCAGAACCGTGCCGGTGTACCTGGAGGACTCCATCACCACCTGGGAGGTGCTGGCCGTGAGCCTCTCCAGGACAAGGGGTAAGACTGGGAGCCGTGTGTCCACCTTAGCCAAGCGGAGAAGGACAGGCGTGTGGTTAAAGCACGGGACTGGGAGTCAGGTCTCCTGGCTTTGGGAGGGAGTAGTGGCTAGAGCGGGTTGGGAGCCAAGACAGCGGGATCCTGTCCCCAGCTCTGGGAGGGGAGTGAGGGCTAGTGGTTACAGCAGACTGGGCCTCAGGCCTCAGGGGGGAGGGCTAGCTCAGTGGTTTGAGCTATTGGCCTGCTAAACCCAGGGTTGTGAGTTCAATCCTTGAGGGGGCCATTTAGGGATCTGGGGCAAAAATTGGGGATTGGTCCTACTTTGAGCAGGGGGTTGGACTAGATGACCTCCTGACGTCCCTGCCAACCCTGATATTCTATGACTCCTGGCTTTTATTCCCAGCTCCGACACTGACATGCCATCCGCCTCCTGCACATCACAACTACCTTGTTCTGTGCCTCAGTTTCCCTCTCTCTGAAACAGAGTTAATCCTGTGGATTAACCAAGTTAAGATTTTTGGAGCATCTTGTGATTTATAACACCCTGATTCCCTTTCCTATGAGGCCAGATGGTTGGGGAGCCGGGACTAGAACTTGCCACTGCAAAGACAGGATGCTGCCCCGGGAGCAAACAGAAATTCCCTTTCTTGGTAGGAGAAGCTGCGGGCTGGTCAGGCCTAAATTTTAGGCCCAACCCAGACCCGAAGGGAGCCAATCCCATGCAACCCGAGCGGGTTGAGTGGTTTTCCAGCCCGAGCCCCACTCAGCACCATTGCCTCCTGCCCAGGGGGTTGGTGTGGCGGCAGCTATGAGCTGTTCCTGCCGGCCGCCGTGCCCTGCTGCACTGTGTGTGTGCATCCAGCCCAGGGAGGGCGGGGGTGGCTGGCTCGCGTGGGGCGTGGAGGGGAGCCGACCCGAGCCCACCCTGGGAGGGTCAGGATGTTTTCCAACCTAAGCCAGCCTGGACCCAACACTTGCAGGGCTCAAACCAGTAGCATCTCCTCTTTGGACCTACCCACTAGATGGCAATGTTATGCACACCCCCAGAGGGGGGAGGGCAGCCCTATTCCACCCCAGAGGTGGGTGCACTTCCGTGGTGTGATCCTCATATACGCAGCACTCCCGGACCCTCGCTGCGGGTGATAGAATCATAGAATCATAGAATATCAGGGTTGGAAGGGACCCCAGAAGGTCATCTAGTCCAACCCCCTGCTCAAAGCAGGACCAATTCCCAGTTAAATCATCCCAGCCAGGGCTTTGTCAAGCCTGACCTTAAAAACCTCTAAGGAAGGAGATTCTACCACCTCCCTAGGTAACGCATTCCAGTGTTTCACCACCCTCTTAGTGAAAAAGTTTTTCCTAATATCCAACCTAAACCTCCCCCACTGCAACTTGAGACCATTACTCCTCGTTCTGTCATCTGCTACCATTGAGAACAGTCTAGAGCCATCCTCTTTGGAACCCCCTTTCAGGTAGTTGAAAGCAGCTATCAAATCCCCCCTCATTCTTCTCTTCTGCAGACTAAACAATCCCAGCTCCCTCAGCCTCTCCTCATAACTCATGTGTTCCAGACCCCTAATCATTTTTGTTGCCCTTCGCTGGACTCTCTCCAATTTATCCACATCCATCTTGAAGTGTGGGGCCCAAAACTGGACACAGTACTCCAGATGAGGCCTCACCAATGTCGAATAGAGGGGAACGATCACGTCCCTCGATCTGCTCGCTATGCCCCTACTTATACATCCCAAAATGCCGTTGGCCTTCTTGGCAACAAGGGTACACTGCTGACTCATATCCAGTTTCTCGTCCACTGTCACCCCTAGGTCCTTTTCCGCAGAACTGCTGCCTAGCCATTCGGTCCCTAGTCTGTAGCTGAGCATTGGGTTCTTCCGTCCTAAGTGCAGGACCCTGCACTTATCCTTATTGAACCTCATCAGATTTCTTTTGGCCCAATCCTCCAATTTGTCTAGGTCTTTCTGTATCCTATCCCTCCCCTCCAGCGTATCTACCACTCCTCCCAGTTTAGTATCATCCGCAAATTTGCTGAGAGTGCAATCCACACCATCCTCCAGATCATTTATGAAGATATTGAACAAAACCGGCCCCAGGACCGACCCTTGGGGTACTCCACTTGATACCGGCTGCCAACTCGATATGGAGCCATTGATCACTACCCGTTGAGCCCGACAATCTAGCCAGCTTTCTACCCACCTTGTAGTGCATTCATCCAGCCCATACTTCCTTAACTTGCTGACAAGAATACTGTGGGAGACCGTGTCAAAAGCTTTGCTAAAGTCAAGAAACAATACATCCACTGCTTTCCCTTCATCCACAGAACCAGTAATCTCATCATAAAAGGCGATTAGATTAGTCAGGCATGACCTTCCCTTGGTGAATCCATGCTGGCTGTTCCTGATCACTTTCCCCTCATGCAAGTGCTTCAGGATTGATTCTTTGAGGACCTGCTCCATGATTTTTCCAGGGACTGAAGTGAGGCTGACTGGCCTGTAGTTCCCAGGATCCTCCTTCTTCCCTTTTTTAAAGATTGGCACTACATTAGCCTTTTTCCAGTCATCCGGGACTTCCCCCGTTCGCCACGAGTTTTCAAAGATAATGGCCAATAGCTCTGCAATCACAGCCGCCAATTCCTTCAGCACTCTCGGATGCAACTCGTCCGGCCCCATGGACTTGTGCACGTCCAGCTTTTCTAAATAGTCCCTAACCACCTCTATCTCCACAGAGGGCTGACCATCTCTTCCCCATTTTGTGATGCCCAGCGCAGCAGTCTGGGAGCTGACCTTGTTCGTGAAAACAGAGGCAAAAAAAGCATTGAGTACATTAGCTTTTTCCACATCCTCTGTCACTAGTTTGCCTCCCTCATTCAGTAAGGGGCCCACACATTCCTTGGCTTTCTTCTTGTTGCCAACATACCTGAAGAAACCCTTCTTGTTACTCTTGACATCTCTGGCTAGCTGCAGCTCCAGGTGCGATTTGGCCCTCCTGATAACATTCCTACATGCCCGAGCAATATTTTTATACTCTTCCCTGGTCATATGTCCAACCTTCCACTTCTTGTAAGCTTCTTTTTTATGTTTAAGATCCGCTAAGATTTCACCATTAAGCCAAGCTGGTCGCCTGCCATATTTACTATTCTTTCGACTCATCGGGATGGTTTGTCCCTGTAACCTCAACAGGGATTCCTTGAAATACAGCCAGCTCTCCTGGACTCCTTTCCCCTTCAAGTTAGTCCCCCAGGGGATCCTGGCCATCCGTTCCCTGAGGGAGTCGAAGTCTGCTTTCCTGAAGTCCAGGGTCCGTATCGTACTGCTTACCTTTCTTCCCTGTGTCAGGATCCTGAACTCAACCAACTCATGGTCACTGCCTCCCAGATTCCCATCCACTTTTGCTTCCCCCACTAATTCTACCCGGTTTGTGAGCAGCCGGTCAAGAAAAGCGCCCCCCCTAGTTGGCTCCTCTAGCACTTGCGCCAGGAAATTGTCCCCTACGCTTTCCAAAAACTTCCTGGATTGTCTATGCACCGCTGTATTGCTCTCCCAGCAGATATCAGGAAAATTAAAGTCACCCATGAGAATCAGGGCATGCGATCTGGTAGCTTCCGTGAGCTGCCGGAAGAAAGCCTCATCTACCTCATCCCCCTGGTCCGGTGGTCTATAGCAGACTCCCACCACTACATCACTCTTGTTGCACACACTTCTAAACTTAATCCAGAGACACTCAGGTTTTTCTGCAGTTTCGTACCGGAGGCTGCGTACACGGATACGTGTAGAGGAGGCTGTGGAAGGTGCCCGCTGCCGAGTGATCTGATCCAAGGAGGGGTGGGCTTTGACTGGACTCCCTTCCCATTGCAGGGATCTGCGTGGCCGAGCCTTATGAAATAACGGTGATGAAGCAGTTCTTCGTTGATCTCCGGCTGCCCTACTCCGTGGTGCGGAACGAGCAGGTGGCCATCCGGGCCGTGCTGTACAACTACGCACCCCGGGCTCTCCAGGCGAGTAGAGATCAGCCCTGCCCTGGTGGATGGGTGGAAGATGCCTGTTGGTAAAGGAAGGCAATGGGAGTGGTGTCTAGTGGTTAGAGCAGGGAAGGATGGGAGTCAGGACTCCTGGGATCTATTCCTACCTTGAAGAAGTGAGAGCAGTGTAGCCATTAGCAAAGAGGAACCCAGGACTTCTGGGTTCTGTTGCTAAAGGTGGGATGGAGTGTGATCTAGTGGTTGGTGCTGGGAATTAGGGCAGCTAGGTTCTCACTGTGAATAGCTTGCTTTTTCTCTCTCTGACTCAGTTTCCCTCTCTATAAAACGGGGCTAATTATATTTACTCACCTCCGGGAGGGAGGGTTAATTAACATACACTTGTGAAGCGAGTCAAGGTTTTTACATGAGGAGGGTGAATGGTTAATTGGCTATGGATGAAAAGGAGATTTGTTGTGGAGAATATCACTGCCTGGACTGAGGTGATCAGTGACATACTGAGGTGAACATAAGAACGGCCACAGTAGGTCCGATCAAAGGTCTGTCTCGCCCAGTGTCCTGTTTTCCAACAGTGGCCAATGCCAGGTGCACCAGAGGGTGGCGGGGTAGACTGGGGTGAAGAACACAATGGGGGCCTGGAGCGTAAGACACTTAGAGGTGAGACCCCAGCCACCAAGTTGGCAGTGTGGATCAGAACGCTCCTCTACCTACCACAGTTCTGGAGTGTCCTGGTTCTGATCCACAGTGGAGATTGGAGCCAGACACATCGTTTTAATCTGGATCAGAACTTTTCCATAGCTTGTGGAGTATTTGGATCCAGGCTTCTGGTTCTGACCTATAATGGAGACCGGAGCCAGACATGCAGTTTGGATCTGGATCAGAACTTCCCTAGAACGTGGAGGTATTTGGATCTGGGTTTTTGGATTCTGGTTCTCACAAGGCCTAGGCGCTTAGCCTTACTTTGAGGGCTTAGGTGGTTCCTGGAGCGGTGCCAGCTGGACCCACAGGATGCTTCCCCCAGCGTGGCTGCTGACGAGGTTGCTTGGCTTGTGGCTCGCAGATCCGGGTGGCACTGATGTACAACGAGAAGATCTGCAGCTCCAGCAGGCGCGACAGCCAGTTCCGGCAGGAGCTGGTGATCCAAGCCGGAGCCTCTCGAGCCATCTCCTACGTGATCATCCCCCTTGAGCTGGGGGAGGTGGAGATCGAGGTGACAGCGGCCATCCATGGGCTCCCCATTGCAGATGGCGTGAAGAAGAAGCTCAGGGTGGTGGTAAGTGTCAGAGACAGATGGCTACAAGTCACGGCATCATCTGACTGGCTAGTGCTGCTGTTTTTAAGCTAAGCATGGATGGGCCTGTTCAGAATTTAGCTGAGAGACCTCCAAGGAAGAAGTGGGGGTAACTCAGTAGGGGATGGTGCTGGGGCAGTTGCACTGTAATGAACAATGTGGCTGGCTCAGCTGGGGGTGCTTGCCCCTTGGAATTGTCCCTGGTACTAGGGGGAGGAGGGGTATTGTGCTCCTGCGGCTCAGTAGGGGATCAACTTGGGGGTCCTACTAGCTGATGCCAGTGTGGGAGAGTGGCTAGGAGATGCCCACCAGCCTGCAGCGTCAGTTCTCTGCGATTGGTCTGTAGTTCCCAGTGCTGGGGGTTGGTATAAGGATAATCAGGGGGTGGGTGAGGCAGAGACCTCGCCCCGTGTGCTCCCCCTCAATGAGCAGTTTGGCCCCTGTCTGGCTTTTCTCTCCTGCAGCCTGAGGGCATGAAAATCTTTAAGAACATCAAGAGTGTCCTGCTGGATCCGGCTGCCCGCGGCTCAGGTAGGGCCTGCTGGGGCGTTGCCTCTGAGGCTCTGCTTTGAAATCTCCCCCTCCGGAGCTTTGGTTGCTTATCAAATGTGTCAGGAGGAGCTGGTGGCTTTATGGTTCCACCTACTCCCCAGAGTCACAAGGCACCGTGCTGTGCTGAGTGGGATATGACTGCTGTTAGTGGCTGGGCTGCAGCTGATAACAGCCTACCATTGCAGCCAGCTAATGGAGTTAATCCTTTAGCTCAAGTGTGCCTCTGGGGATCTAGCCCAGCTAGCATGAGGGGTGGTAGGGGCAAAGAACAAATCAAATGAGAGCAGTTTAAGGAGGTGAAATGTTTCTGAAGGTTCCCCCCATAACCAGTCCCCTGGCACCCCCAGCCCCAGCAGCATGTATGTTTCATGGCAATGTGGGAGGCCCCAAAATTGCACACTGGAAGATAAACCTCTGTTCCTAAAATGCCCTAAATTGGGGGCCTTCTTTGGACACTGCAGGGCTCTGGGTAACTGACCAGAAGAGCTCTGGTCAAAATCGCTCACCACGCCAGCACTGTTATGTTCCGGGGGTGCTTCCCTCTGTGACCCATGTGTTTCTTGCAGCCTCTGGGGAGCAGCTGGAGACAATCGCGCCTGTGGACATGAGTAACGTGGTCCCCAACACCGAGCCGGTGACCTTCATCAGCGTGAAGGGTAAGGCCTGGGGGTGGAGGGGAAGTAGGCAGAGATGGGAATGGGAGAGAGCTGCTAGTGGGGAGGGAAGATGGCAGCAAGAGGTCCCCATCCACCACGTTTTAACCCGTTAGCACCAGGATCGAGGGCTTTTTCGCCCGGCAGTGGGCACTTAAGCTGTTTCTGATCAACCCTCGAATCCCCCACTGCATGGCTAGAGAGAGAACAGTCCCTAGCTTTCATCAGGCATTTTACAAGGCCAGACAGTTTCATTAGTCCAGGAGCGGTTGGAGGGAGCACTGGCAGATGCTCTAGAGTGACCAGGTGTCTGGTTTTCGACCGGAACGCCCAGTCGAAAAGGGTCCCTGGTGGCTCCGGTCGGCACTGCCGATGGGACCGTTAAAAGTCCGGTCAGCAGTGCTGCGGGCCTAAGGCAGGCTAGTCCCTACCAGTCCTGGCTCCGCATTGCACCCTGGAAGTGGCCAGCAGGTCCGGCTCCTAGGTGGGGATGGCCATGGGGCTCTGCATGCTGCCCCCACCCTGAGCACCGGCTGCACACTCCCATTGGCCAGGAACCACGGGTGGAGCCTCCTGACCTCCCATCTATGTGCCGGACCGGCTGGCTGTTTCCAGGGCGTGTGCAGCGTGGTGTCAGGACAGGCAGGGAGCCTGCCTTAGCCCTGCTGTGCCGCTGACTGGGAGCCGCCCGAGGTAAGCCCACCCCCCAACCCCAAGCTTCAACCCCCCTGCCCCAGCCCTGAGCCCCCCCAAACCTGGAGCCCCCTCCGGCACCCCAAGCCCCTCATCCCCGGCCCCACACCAGAGACCGCAGCTCCAGCCCAGAGCCCATACCCCCTCCCACACTCCAACCCCCTGCCTCAACCCACAGCCCCCTCCTACATTCCAAGTCCCTTGGCCCCACCCCCAGCCTGGAGCCTCCTCCTGCACCCCAAACCCACCCCAGAGCCCGCACCCCCAGCAGGAGCCCTCACCCCCTACTACACCCCAACTCCCTGCCCCAACCCAGAGCTCCCCCCCCGCACCCTGAACCCTCATTACTAGCCCCACCCTGGAGCCCGCACCCTCACTTAGAGCCCTCACCCCCTCCTGCACCCCAACCCCCTGCCCCAACCCAGTGAAAGTGAGTGAGGGTGGGGGAGAGCGAGCCACCAAGGGAGGGGGAATGTAGTTGAACGGGGGCAGGGCCTCAAGAAGGGGCGGGGCCTCTGGGAAGGGGCGGGGCTAGGGTATTCAGTTTTGTGTGATTAGAAAGTTGGCAACCCTAAGAGGCTCCCTAAAAGTGTGAGGGGCACTGGCATCTGAACCATGGGCCCGCCTCCCATGCTGCTCCTTCCCTGAAGCCCTGCCCCTTCCCCAAGACCCCACTCCCCACTCTCTCCTCTCTGTCCCCTCCCCATCGCTCACCCTTACGGCGGGTAAAAAGTGGTGGGGCCATGGCACCCCCTGATCTGGCACCCCTGGTTGGAGGGGACAGTGCCCAACAAGGTGGGGAGGGGCCTGGGCTTGGTGTTGGGGGGTAATGGGAGGAGTGGGCAGGACTAGGGGCATAGGGGGGAAGCGGCTGAGAAGGGGGCTGGCTTTGAGGGGTGGGTGTGGGGCTTGATGCCCACCAGGGCAAAGGAGGGAAGGGGCTGGGCTGGGTGGGTGAGGACTGGGTAGCAGGGAGTGGGGGGGGCTCTGCCCACCTCTCACCCTCTCCGACCGGCCTGCCCAGGGGACATCGTGGGCGACACGGTGGAGAACTCCATTGACGGTGCCAACTTGAAGCACCTGATCCAGGTCCCAGCAGGCTGCGGGGAACAGAACATGATCGGCATGACCCCCGCTGTCATCGCCACCCACTACCTGGACAGCAGCCAGCAATGGGAGAGGCTCGGCGTGGAACGCAGGGCGGAGGCCATCAAGTTCATCACTCGGGGTGAATCTCTCTCTGGGTTGGGGGGAGGAGTTGGGCCGGGCAAAGAGCAATAGCTCGGGGCTCCTGCTGCTCTGAATGCCCTGTCCTGCCCCCAGGCACTGAGCCACCCTGGCTGAATTGTCTGAGTAGAGCGGAGCTGGCTAGGAGCTCGGGGTCTGTAAAGGAGCTGGGTCCCAGTCCCTTGAGGAACCTGGTGGATTAAAAGCAGGGACCTGATTCCCAATTCCCATGCTTGGGGCAGGGACCGAGTGGGCAGGGCTTTAAGCCCCCTTGGTGCTCTCCCTATTCTAGGACTGTACAGGTCCTTTCCTGGCCCCTGGTGTGAGCAACAGCAGCCTTGGGGCTGCTCTGATTTACTCTGGTATGGGAATCAGGGATGAACTATATTGCAGCATGCTCTGGCCACGCCAACAATCTGCCCCCTCCACCGGGAGGCTGGGAACCAGCTGGGAGCAAGACCCTGCACTCCAGCTGGGATCACCCCTTCACAAGGGGAGTCTCAGGGGTCTGTTACACTCCCTGTTATGACCTCGTCATGCTGCTAGAGGGGGCCCACAGGTAAGTGGAAATCAAGCCCCAGTTCTGTAAAGTCTGCCCCGAAGCAAATAGGCAGCCGGCAGTATCTGGGAAGCACTGAGGCAACAGGCTCATCCTGGCCTGTGCTGCTTACGTCATGCACTGCACCAGCATCAGTCGCCTTGTAGCAGCATTGCTCAGTGTCAGGGAGACTGCGACGCAGAATCTAACCCAAAGGGGATGGGAATGTGGGTACTTGTGGCTAGGTCCTCATGCCTGGGGGGGTGGAGATGCTGTGGCAATCTGTACTTTCGTTGGCTAGCAAGGAGTCCCGGGAACTCATGAGATGGAAGAGCTACAGAGAGGTCTAGTGGTATCAGTGGGGACCGGGAGTCGAAATGGGGACTAGGGGTGGGCCTCAGAACTCCTGGGTTCCATTCCCAGCTGCGGGAGCAGAGCGTGTTACAGCTGGGCTGAGCACCTCAAACTGGGAATCCAGATTTTAACTTCTGCAGCTCAGGCCCCATCTCTGATCGCTTGATTTCAGGGTACACCCAGCAGCTGGCTTATCGGAAAGCAGATAACTCCTATGCAGCCTTCACAAACAGACCAGCGAGCACCTGGTAAAGCATGGGGCGCGGGGGGCAGAAACGTGGTGGGAACTGGGGCTGAGCTGTTGTCCTAACACACATCTGACTTCAGAGACTCTCCACTAAAGTCTCCCTGGCATGGGACCCAGAAGACCTGGGTTCAATTCTTCCTCTTCTGTTGACAACTCCATGTGGGACCTTGGGCATGGCCCTTTGTCGATCTGGCCCGCAGGTTCCCCGTCAGTAAAATGGGGTTAATGGCCTTTCCTTTCGATTGTGAGCCCTTTGGAGCAGGGACTGCCTCTGGCTCTGGGTCTGTGCAGCGCCTGGCGCAACGGGACCCTGATCTCAGTCAGTGTCTGGGCACCACCTGAAACAACGCAGACCCCTATCTCGGTCGGGGTCTGTGCAGTGCCTGGCACAATGGCGCACCCCATCTCAGTTGGGGGGTTGTGCAGTGTGCCCATTATGATGTGGGTGGGAGGGACCCGTCTTGGTTGGGATCCCGGGCAGTGCCCAGCATGACAGTGAGGTGGGGGTAGGGTGTGATCTCAGATGGGGACCTCTAGGTTCAACCATAAGACAGCTTATGGCCACTGTTTAACTGATTAACAAACAGTTAAGAGCTGTTGCAATAACTGGTTGAGAGATGATTAGAGTCTCCGGCTTTTATACACGGCTGATAGCAATCGACATGGCATGCAACTCATCTCCGTGGCGTATTAACCCGTTACGAAGGTACCCTTTATTTAAAGTGTGACCCACATTAATATGGGGTCGGGGCGGCTGGCTGCTCCTCCCCTGCTCACCCCAAGCTTTTCCTCCCCGGCAGGCTGACAGCCTACGTGGTGAAGGTCTTTGCCTTGGCCGACGAACTGATCGCTATCAACCCCGAGGTGCTGTGCGGGGCTGTGAAGTGGCTGATCCTGCAGACGCAGAAGCCTGACGGGGCGTTCCAGGAGGATGCCCCCGTGATCCACGGGGAGATGGTGGTGAGCTGCTCACCCTGGGGGGGCTGGATCTGGAGCTGGTGTCGCTTTGCTCCATGATGGAGCAGCGGCTTGGGAGATCGGGATCCGGGTTCCGAGTTCGGGCAGCGCCTGGGAACGGGGCACACAGGGCGCGGGATGCGGAGCCTTCCAGAAACCCAGCCTTTCCTCTGGCTCTTCTCTCGCTAGGGAGGGTACCAGGGTTCGGAGCCGGATGCTTCTCTGACGGCCTTCGTTGTCATTGCGATGGTGGAGGCCAGAGACGCCTGTCAGCCGTATGTGGAGGTGAGTCATGCAGGCAGCATGCGAGGCCGCCGAGTTTAGCACGTGGCGTTTTTTCATCTAGGGACAAGAATGTAGGAGTGGGGGCTAGCGACTAGGGGACTGGGTGTCAGGACTCCTGGGTTCTATTCCCAGCTCTGGGGTGGGAAGAGATGGGGCAACAGGACTCCTGGGTTCTATCCTAGGATGTTCTGGGAGGAGAGTGGGGGTCTAGTAGTCAGGACAAGGGGCTGGGAGTCAGGATCTGTGGGGCCTGGTAGTTGGAGTAGGGGGTCTGTGAGTCAAGACCCCTGGTTCTATCCCATGATCTGGGAGGAGAGTGGGGGTCTAGTTGTCAGAACGGGGGGCTGGGAGCTAGGACTCCTGGGTTCTATTCCTGGTTCTTCTGCTGATTTGCCTTTTAACCTTGGAAAATATGCCTTCCCCTCTCCGTGCCTCGGTTTCCCTAGTCGACGCTCTCTCCCTTCTGGGCTGTAATGCGGGCTCTGGGGTCTCGGTGCCTTTTCAGAGCTTGGGCAGAAGCATCACGAAGGCTGGAGATTACTTGGCGAGGCGCATGAAAGACCTGAAGAAACCCTACTCCGTGGCCATCACGTCCTACGCACTGGCGCTGCTGGGCCACGCTGGAGCAGGAGACAGGCTCATGGCGCTTTCCACGGGTGAGTGAGTCTCTGGCTCCAGAATCCACGTCTGCGTCTCAGGCGGGCAGCAGGAGAGACGCTGAGACAGGCAAGCCATTGGGCTGACTAGCCTCGTATCCCACCTCTCCTTTGCTGTGTAGATCAGACCCACAGGCCCAGCTGGGCTGAGATCTCCCCTAGCACTGCATTGGGTCAGAGCTATGGGCCCGGCTACCCTGGTATCTCCTGCTATCTCAGCCTAGGCGCTGAGTATTTTTTTTCCCCAGGGTGCTCCACCCCCGCTCTGCCCCATGGCCCTGCCCCCACCCTACCCTTCCCCCGAGGCCCCACCCTCGCTCTCCCACTTCCAACCCATGCTCTGCCCCCTCCCCAAGGCACCCGCCCACCTGCTGCTTGCTGCTTGCTGCCCTCCCTCAGCCACCAAACAGCTGTTTGGCAGCGCTTCCGATCAGCTGATCGGGGGTGCCGCCGAACAGCTGTGGCTGGTGAAGGCTGAGCACCCACTTCTTTTTCCCATGGAAAAGCCCTGGAGCACCCACGGAGTCGGTGCCTATTCACCTCAGATGAGACCAATAGCCCCACCTTGCCTTGTGTCTCCCCCCCCATAACTACACCACCGGGATGATTTAGTTTGGGATTGATCCTGCTTTGAGCAGGGGGTTGGACTAGATGACCTCCTGCGGTCCCTTCCAAACCCTGATATTCTGTGATTCTATGATCACACCAATGGGCCCATCCAACCTGGTATCCTGCCTCCCTGCCCCCAAAATCAGGCCAACGGGCCCACCCAGCCCGATACCCCTTCCCGCTCCCAGACGCACCAGGCTATTCTGTGCTAGCTGCCAGCTGTGTATGTGACGGGGCGGGTCCCTCGCTGCTTCGCAGGAGGAACGCACTGGGCCGACCCCCAGTCCCGTCTCTACTCCATCGAATCCACCTCTTACGCCCTGCTGGCCTTGCTGAAGCAGAAGAGGTTGGAGCTGACAGGTCCCATTGTCCGGTGGCTGACGGAGCAGCGGTATTATGGAGGAGGCTACGGCTCAACCCAGGTAAATATCACCACTGCGGATCCCTGACCCAGACCCGAGGCGGGCCCACGTGTGACATGAGAAATGGCAGGTGAGGATCCATCTGGCAGCTGGCTCTGCTGAATTAGCCCAGCCGCTGACTGCAGCATATTGCCGGGTCCAGGGCATCATCCCATCTCTGGGGACGTCTCCTGGCATGGGGCTTCTATTTGTCCCATGGGAGACTATGCCACACCCTAGGGAGGCTTATGTAGTGGGGTGACCTGGCCCTGCAGATAGGGCATAGGACTGGGAGCCAGGATTCCTGGGTTCCCTTCCCAGCTCTGGGAGGGGAGTGGGCTCTATTGTTAGAGCAGGGGGCCTGGGATCTTTCCCAGCTCTTCCACTGTGTTACTCTGCAACCTTGGATACGCCCCTTTCCTTCTCCGGGCCTCACTTTCCCCCTCGGAAAAGCACAGTGATCCCCCCTTCCCCCCCCCCCGCCTTTGTAAAGCATTTCCCTCCCCAAAGCCCAGCCTGTGGGTGCTCAGTGTGTCCCTCTGGCTCTAGGCAAGCTGCCAACGTCACAGGTGATGGGAAGGGGCTCTGGGGAGCTTCTTGCTAAAACCCCATGGCCAGATGGCCGTGAGGTGTGGGCCATTGCTCTGCTGCTGGGGCTTAGGCCTTCCCCCTCTTTCCCCCTGCCAGCTCCCAGGAGTAGGATACACCCCCTCTTCCTGTCCCCCGCCCCCCAGGATTACGCCCCTCAGACTCTTTGCCACCGCTTCTCCTAGGAGGGAATACATCTCCTTTGGGATCCTCCCACCCCCAGTCCCCACGAGGAGATATGTTACCCCAGAATTACCCCCTTCCAGAGCCTTTGCCCCCCAAGGGGAATATGCCCCCCAATATTGCCCCTTCCAGAGCCTTGCCTTCCTCCTCAAGGAGGGGTTATGCCCCGCCACAGGATTATCCCCTTTCCAAAGCCTTCGTCTCCCACCCCCATTCCTTGCCAGCCTCCAGCACTATCTGTATCCCTCCCAGTTCCCAGGAAGGCCTCTCCCACACTCCCTTGCCAAGGCAGGTTGCTATCAGCCCTGTGTTCTGCATGGGAGACAGACGGTTCTTTGTTCCAAGGGGGAAGTGCAGCCCAGCCGCCCTGGGTTAATCACAGACTGAGGGGCAGCCTCTTGTTAAAAACTTGGCAGCAGCTCAGTGAACACGTGGGTTGGTCCGGTGAGATCGAGATGGGCTGCGTCTGAACCACCTGCATCTTGGGTCAGGCCTCACCCCACAATGCGCAAGCAGGGCCCAGCAGATCCCATGAAGCCCCAGAATCTGCCCCGGGGCCACAGAATTGTGCCACGGAATCTCAGCTTCTAGCCTTTTGTGGAAGCTACCAGCCAAGCGTGCACTGCCTGCCTGAGTCTGCAGACTGTCTGACATGGCTGTGGCAGAAAGGAGCTGACCTCTGGCTATCCCACTGGGGTGTTTGAACCCTCAGGAGCTAATGCTGGTGATGGAGTATTATTTGCTCCTTTTTTGCTGTGGCTCACCAGAAGTATGTGTTCACTCTGGTCCCTAATGATGGCATCCCACTGACAAAAGCAGGCAGTCCACGGAACATGTCGCAGAGCACAGAGAATGACTAAAGCATCTTCCAGGAAGGCCTTCTTCAGCCTAACAAAGTGGTAGGGCTCAATGCCAGGATAACTGGGTGACGTTCCCTGGCCTGTGAAATCCAGCAGGTCAGACTAGATGGTCTAATGGTCCTGTCTGGCCTTATTGTTCGTTCTTGTTCTGCGTTCCTCCACTAGATCAAAGCACCCTTTAGAACCCGGGGCGGGGCTCCCCCACCCCACAAAGGTGCTTTACACACTGTCATCAAGTCACCTCTTGATCTCTCTGAGAAGCTGATTCAGCTCCTTCTGTGTCTCACTAAAGGCATTTTCTCCAGCCCCTCGAATCATGTTCATGGCTCTTTTCTACCCGTTCCAATATTCCCACGTCCTTTGTTGCACACACCAGAACTAGGCGCAGCCTCCCCCCCTGCGCCGCCCCTTCCCCCGATGCCCCACCCCCATGCCGCCCCTTCCCCCAATGCCCCGCCCCTATGCTGCCCCTTACCCTGATGCCCCGCCCCTGCGCTGCCTCTTCACCCCAAAGACCCCGCACCCCGCTCACTCCTCTCTGCCCCCTCCGCACTGTGGCTTGCCTGAAAAATGATGGGGCCATGGCCCCCTGCCCCCCACATTCCAGCGCCCCCGGCGTTGCAGCGTTTTCGCACGCAGAGGAAAACTCCCCTCCCTGCTCTTGGTCGCCGCTCCAAGGAGTAGCACAGTTCTCCTTCGTGGCCGTGGCGTAAAATGTTCTCTCTTTTACTGATGAGCCCTTTTTTAGCGCAAATCACCGCCACCCCCATCCGCCTCCTCGGGGCCCCACCTCCCCAAAGCCATAGCTTCCACTGGTCTCCCTAGAGCCGCCACTGCATTTCCAGCCACCCTGCACCCCATCCGCAGGGGTCTTGCTGCGGGGTTTGCTGGGCGTCCCTCTGGGTCCTTGTGCATTAACCCATTTGCCCCTTCCTCGCGACAGGCCACGATCATGGTCTTCCAGGCTCTGGCCCAGTACCAGATGGATGTGTCGGAAACCAAGGACACGGCCCTGGACGTTTCCATTAACCTGCCGGGTCGGAGCAGGCCCCTGCTCTGGAGAATCAACCGGGACAATGCCATGGTGGCCAGGACGGAGCGGGTAAGTCCCAGGGGCTTGGAGAGGGGGGACCGGGCTGAACGCCCCGCATGGGTGAGGGTGGGATGAGGGTGAATGGCAGCAGGAGTTCCTGTTGCCGAGGAGGGAGGAGCAGGCGTGAGGGGTTGGTGGAACGGCAAGGGGATGGCACGGTCACTGTGGAGAGAGACCACGCGGAGGGTGGGAAATTGGCCACGTGTGAGGAGGCAGGGCTGGGGGGTGGCCCTAGGGTGAGGGGGTGCCATGGGCAGGGGGCAAGTGCCTTCCCCCTGCAGAAACTGGGGAAACCCAGCCTTACTCGGGGAACAAACCACTTGTGTCTCGGACAACATGGTCGCTAACCTACCCGCTCCCATCCCCACAGACCAAGCTGACCGACGGCTTCACTGTCTCTGCCAAGGGACACGGCAAAGGGACACTGTCGGTACGTATGGGCTGCTGAGAACCCGCCCGTCGGCCTAGGGGGCTCCTGGATGTACAGCGTGTGGCTCTGAAAGCCCATTTCGCCAGCTGGCGGGGATCCTCCTGGATCTGAGGGGGCAGCAACTGCCCCCCAATCTCAGTGCTGCCCCCTGCTGGATGGATCTGAGCAGGGCTGCCGGGCAATGACATGCTTTGGGGAGGCCGCATCCCTTGTTCCGTCTCTCTCTCCGCCAACCCGAGCTTCTCTCCGGTCTGGCCATTTCTATCTGGCCCTAGGAATCCTGCGACAGCCTGGATTTGCCCGAGACTCCTCCCCATAGACCCCTGGGCCGGAGCAGCCTGGTCAATATCCGTCCCTTCATCGCAGCTTTCTTTCCCAGGTGATGACGGTTTATTACGCTCCCCTGACGGAGGGGGCAGCAGCCTGCAAGAAGTTTGACTTTAGCGTCTCTGTGCAAAGGGCACCTGATGGTAAAGACCTGGGATTCCTGATCAGGGGAGAGGGGACTGGTTTGAGGGGTGCAAGGCCGCAAGATGGCTATCTATACCCCGGTGAGAAAGGGTTAACCTCCATGCAGCTTACCCCTTTTCTAAGCTGGCTGAGGAACAGAGCCCTGTCACCAGGCCTCAGTGGGTCACAGCTGAGAATGCCAAACTCAGGATAAACTGGTGAAAAACTAGAGCAGACTCACCCCCCACTGGTGGTTATTCTGTCACGAGATTATAGCAAGCCAGTAAGAAAAGCCACTCAACTTTATGATGAGTGGTTACTGAAAACCAATTTAATCAAACTGTAGGGTCCTTCTAATCCCAAGAAATCAGCCACTTAGCCAGGTCAATCTGTAACTCAGATTTTACCCAATAATCATCTTGATGCCAATCCTGTAGTAACTAAAACTAAAGGTTTAATAAGAAAAGAAAAGAAGAAAAGATAATATACATACAAATAATTGCAAAGTCCTGTAGCAACGATGCAATAGATGGCTGGCTTGTAAAGTCTCTCTGGGAACTTCCAAAAGATTCGAAGGTCCGTAATCCATATAGCTCAAAATGCTCCTTCTAACTGTAAATCCACAGGCCAGAGAATCAGGGAAGGAAAGTGGCAAAATGAAGCTGTCTCAGGGGTCTTCTATCTCCTCTGCCATGTGCCTAGGGACATGTTGTCTCTGTTTGTGCAAAAAGAACAGGAGGACTTGTGGCACCTTAGAGACTAACCAATTTATTTGAGCATAAGCTTTCATGAGCTGCAGCTCACTTCATCGGATGCATTCAGTGGAAAATACAGACTAACACGGCTGCTACTCTGAAACCTGTTTGTGCAAAGTGACTGGCCTGAGATGGAGTCTGGGTCACATGGACAATGATCACCCCTCCTTGGGAAGTTCGATAATTCACAGGGGCAGCCATTGCCTGTGGCCCATTGTTAGGGTGAAGTGTCCTTAATGGGCCATCACCACACAGCTGTCTAGCCTTGATGTAAATCTTATCTGGTGGGTGTTACCCAGGAATACAGCACATGTGTAAAATAGAAGTCCCTGGCCAATAGTCGTAATTTTAGGTACACAGATGATACATGCATATGAACAGGACAGTCCTACTTAGCAAAGCATCACTTTTCCATTGACACCTCATATGACACGCTTTGTACAAGACTTGTTGCAATTGTGTAACCATGGCATTATCGTTCATCGGTTCAATCAGACTGCATCACAAGCTCCCCTGTAGAGAAAGACCTTGTTGATTTGCTTCTGTCTCCATCTTCAGAGTCACTGCGGGGGAAGATCTGGGCTTTATTTGGGGCTCAGGCTGTTTCAGAACCGGGCTCCAGCTGCTTGCTTGGGGCTTGCTTGGAGCAGGGGTGCACGGTCAGCATTTGAGCAAGGGGTTCTCCCAGCAACTGCTCCCGTGGCTCATGATTAGCCGGGAGCTGCAAGGGGCTGGGGAAGAAGATTGGGGTGTGGATGAATTTCCCCACTAAAAGAAAAATTGCTTCTTCAACAGGCTTTGATCTCAGAACCTAATTAGGTCCCAGTGTGGTGGGGAACGTGTTAGCCGCTTAGAGATGGGGAAACTAAGGCACAGGTCACTCAGCAGCACTGTTGGGTATAGAACCCTGGCTCCTATTCCCCACCTGGGCCACTAGACCCCCATTCCCCTCCAAGGATAGAACCTAGGAGTTCTGATTCCTAGTCCCCCTGCTCTAACCATTAGACCGCACCCCTCTGCCAGAGCTGGGACTAAAACCTAGGGCTCCTGATTTGCATACCAGTAACCACAAGATCCTTTTTCTTCCCATGACGGAAGCAACTTGCACTTGGCAGACAAACTAGTCACAACTGACACTTCCCTGGAAAACTGTATCAGAGATTGAAAAGATTAGGGCGGTTTATGAGAAGGGAGGAACTGAGAGGATGTGAGAGAGCTGCATACAAAGGAAGGAGCCTAGTCAAGGACCCGTGTTCAATTCTGCTCTGCCACAGATTCCTGTCTGACCTTGGGCCGGTCATTTAGTCTCTCTGTGCCTCAGTTTCCCTATCTGGAAATGGGGGGAAAATGGGACTTCCCTCCCCCACAACAAGGGCAGACTGTGAGGTGCTCAGATAGTATGGCGATGGGGCCCAGAGAAATACTTTGGAGAGAGAGGAGAAGTCCTGTGCGGAAAGAGCAATAGCCCGGAGCTCTGATCTAGCGCTTTTCATCAGTGGATCTCAAAGGGACAGATATTTAAAGGTCTTTAGGCACCTAGCTCCTATTGAAACCACTGAGAGGTAAACACCAATGTACCTTTAACTGTCAGGTCCCAAGCACTTCCCAAAGGAGACACGAGGACAAAGAGGCACTGAAAGAGAGACAAGTAACCACACAGGACAGATGAGAATCATGTCGCTTAGATGAGCGACTGGGTGACGGGAGCAGGATAAGGACCAGTGTACAACAGGCTGGGATAGTTTGGTGCCCATCTTGTGTGACTGTGTCTGTAAGTGGGGTGGGGGAATCCCTGAGGAGGGGGGAGTCCTCCCCTGGGAATAAATTTGGGATGATCCTGGTGCGTTTCCTCTCCGGAACCATTTTTAAATGGGTCTGGTGGTGTGGGGGGGCACCACTGATGAGACAGGAATGTGACCCCCCTGCTGTGTTGATCGGTCTTTGCAGCCAAGAAGCCAGAAGGAGCCCTGGCCTCTGTGTTCATCCAGATCTGCATGCGGTGAGTCATCCCCGGCAGCCATCACCCCCCCACACAGCCGCCCCCCACCCTAGAATGGTGGAGAGTGTGTCAGATCCTGGCTTGAGGTGTGTGTCCATGTCTCCGTTTAGTGCAGCGGCTCTCAAACGGTGGGTCATGACCGCATTTTAATGGGGTTGCCAGGGCTGGCATTAGACGTGCTGAGGCCTGGGGCTAAAGCCCTGAGCAGTGGGGCTCAGGCTTTGACCCTCCATGCTGGGTGATGGGGCTTAGTTTACAGGCCCCCTGCCTGGGGCTGAAGCCCTCAGGCGTCTGCTTTGGACCCCTGCCCTGGGTGGTGGGGTTCAGGCTTTGGCCCCCTATGCTGGGCGGTGGGGCTCAGGCAGACTCAGGCTTCAGTCCCCCCTCCTGGGGTCATGTAGTAATTTTTCTTGTCAGAAGGCAGTTGCAATGCAATGAAGTTTGAGAACCTCTGGTCTAGTGGTTACTGTCCCTGTAACAATAATAACCAATAGGAATTAGGCACCTAAATACCTTGGAGGATCTGGAATCTGGGGCCTACAACATGCATGATTTCCAGTCCCATCCTTTCCCCCCACCCCGTTCGGCTTTCTTTTCCTGGCTATAGTGCCCACCCCAAGGCTGGCAGATCTCCTTGGCTGCACCCCGGCTGTTTTGGGTACAAGCTCCAGACTGCCCCCTAAAGGGCTAGTACACCCCTCCACAGCCCCCCAAGGGGTTATTTTTTGAGGGGGTGGCCTCCAGGATCTGCTTTCCCCACCGAGGTCTGTCCAGCAGCCATTGATACCTGAATTGGTGCTACTTGGGATCCACGCGTCCCCTCTCCCGCTGCAACCAGGAAGGGCCGTGGAGGCAGTTGGCTGGGCTAGCAGCCTCCCCAGTGGCTTCGTCCAGCCAGCGTCCACTGGTCAGTGCCGGTGGCCTCCAGAGAGGATCCGCTTTGTTGCCTGGCGGGTGTTTTCCTAGCCAAATCCTCTCTGCATCCTCCAGGTTCCTGGGAACGGTGGACTCCACCATGACCATCCTAGACGTCTCCATGCCCACCGGCTTCTCCCCAGACATGGACGACTTGGATAAGGTGAGCCCCACCCCCTCAATGCGTGGGGAGTTGGCTGCTCCCCTGGGACCAACCTAAGAGTGGTGGTTCGGGCAGGGGTTTTAACCTCTTCCATGCCAGGATCACACACACACAAATTTAGCAATCTGGGGAGGGCATCACAACCTCCTGATGCTTGTTGGGTCATGACTCAGGGGCTTGGTGCCTTTCACCTCTTGGTCATTCTCGGTCACAGACTGGGGCAGCGGTAGGTGTTCTCAGCTGGTGGCTGTGTGGTGGGTTCTCAGCCCAGTTCCTAGTGGGACAGGAAAATCACTGTGTCATTGGCACGAACCAGCCCCCTCGTTGGCAGCCCCTGTGTCAGATGGGCCATGGAGATGGTGCTCCCCTCTCATTCCTAATGCGGGGTCCCTCCCAGGCAGGGCTGAACCACATCCGGAGAGGGTGAGGAGCGCGGAACTCACACGGTCGATGCCCTGTCCAGGTGTCACAAGAGGACTGAGACCCTGGGAATGTCAGTGGGCCAAGCCTTGTTCATGGGATCAGAGCGGAGAGCAAGAGGCAGACAGTAGGGGGTGGAGAAGGGGGTGTGAAGTCAGGAGGGGCAAAGCTGGGCACCCCCAAAGCTTTGGAAGAGTTGGGGGCCCAAGTGGGCACCGTCCAGCTTGTGGATTCTACTGGCTGATCAGTTTGATTTCCATGCCCAGCTCACGAACCGTGTGGACAAATACATCTCCAAGTTTGAACTGGACACGGATCTGTCTGAGAGAGGTTCCCTCATCCTCTATCTAGACAAGGTACGGCTTGGCCATCCCCCCCCTTCTTTCTCTTTCTTTCTTTCCCCACCTTCTCTCTCTCTCTCTCTTTGTCACACTTAATATTAAGGTCCCACTGATAATGGATTAATAAATGCTTCAGAGCTACTAATAAATGGCCAATCAATTGTTCTGGAGCCCAGCAGATCAGTAGGTTGCTTAACCCATCTCTGGGTACGTCTACACTGCAGCGGAAGGTGTGATTCCCAGCTCAGGCTAGTGCACTAAAGATAGTGGCATGGCTGCAGCAGCTAGCCAGCCGAGCTCTCAGACCAGACTAGAGTTCGGCAACCAGCCTGAGCTGCTGTGACTCGTGAGGCTGCAGCCATGCTTCTGTTTTCAGGCACGAGCTCACGTGTGCGTCTGCCAAGCTGGGGATGACACCTCCCAACTGCTGTGTAGACATGGCCTATAACTCCTTCCGCTGATAGTCGTCTGTGGCACATCCTGCTTCTGGCTGACATGGGGATAGCCTCCATTCATCATGCATTAGCCCTTCAGAGTAAGGTTCGATTCCAAAGTGTGACCAATATTTCTATTTGGGTGGCTCCCAGAAGTCCCTGATTGGAGATGGGGGGCAATGTTCCCGCTAATGTTTTCTAATTTGGGGAAGGGGATCTCCCCAAACTGCATAAGGATCCAGCATCCACCCTGCTCCCAGTGTAAGGGGCAGATCAGGCACCTGGCCAGAACACACTGTAGAGCAGCCCTGAAGCGGCTCTAATTTACACTGGGGCCCTGCACAGTCACGCAATATGGGGAGCACAAAGGGGGATGGGGTTTAAAGCCCCTGCCACCCCCTTGTGCCCCCTGTCCCAAGTGCAGAGTGGAGTAACTGGGAATCGGGCCCTTTGCCACGCTATTGGCACTCTCTCCTGCCTGCAATGACCATGCCATTGCAGCTCCTAAGGGCCTTTCTCTTCCTCGCTAGGTGTCCAGCAAAGAGACAGACTGTCTGAAATTTAAAGCTCACCAGCACTTCGAAGTGGGTCTGATCCAGCCGGCCGCCGTGATGGTGTACGAGTACTACTCCCTGGGTTAGAGCATTCATCACTCGCTCATCTCGTTAGCGCCCAGCAAAGCACGCTGGCCCCAGCGAACAGTCAGACAGAACCCTGGTGCAGTGTGCCACCCAGTCAGGACAGGCTTGAGCCTTATCACCCCACTAGCTCTTCAGGGAGGCAAACCAGGGCAGTGCCTGGGGCACTAGCCTGTGAGGCAGGAAATCTGGATTTGATTCCCCAGCTCTGCTTTTGACCTTGTCACTCTATGACTCAGTTTCCTTTCTGGAAACAGCCTTTCTACCATAAGAATAACACTTCCGTCCCCTTCTGCCCCCCCCAAAGGAAATGATCACCAGTTTGCTGGCCTCTTTAAACCAGAGCATCCAGACCTCTGAGGAGCTAATTTAAGGGGAATGAGCCCACCTGGGTAGTTAATTGACTAACGAGCACCTGGGCATGATAAAAGCCCATCATTAGTAGGGGGTACTGATAGAGAGAAGCCCTCCTAAAGGTGAGGAGTGCCAGGAGAAACAGAGGCCCCATAAAGGCAGGTGGCTGTGCAACCCCCCTGACCCTAAGGGAAAAGCCTTGAATTCAATTTTATTTGTGTTTCATAGAGAAGAACCCCGGCAGGGGAATTTGGACGTGTACATTTTGTGTGGAGTTCTAAAGGGAAACTGAAGCAGAAGGTGCTTGCAGTGCCACACTAGGCCAGGAGGGGGCAGTACAGGATGGGCAACAGAAATAAAATCTCAAAAATAAAATCAAACCCCTTCCCCAGCTGAGTTTTAGCTCTAAAAAGGGAGACAAGCCAGAGTCTCCATTAAGTTCACAAAGGACTTCGCTAGCGATTTTACATGGAAGATGCCCAGATACTACAGTGATGGGCAGCTGGATAAAATCCTCAAGTACACAAAGAGATTCCCCAGGGAATCAAAGCCAGATTTTCTGGACAGAATAACCCGTCCTTTACCCGTAGTGCTTCGGGGCAGGGACCGTCTCTCGCTGTTGGTACAGCATCTGGCACGAGGCAGCCCTGCTCTCACTGTGTGAGTGTCCGTGTCCCAGCACGGGGGTCTGTCTCCCATTGTGCATCTGTGCATGGTGTGAACTCAAACTCTAGGTGTTACCATTATACACTTAGTAACAAACCTTTTCTCTCTCTCTCAGAAAACCGCTGCACAAAATTTTACCATCCAACCCAAGACAGCGGCTTGCTGAAGGTGCTGTGTGAGGAAGACGCCTGCCGTTGCATGGAAGGTAAAGGGAGACCAAAGGGAGGGGGAAATTTCTCTGCCCTGTCCCTTCACTGGCTTCTATGCTACAGGTTGGAACCACAACTGACCTAGTGGGCTTGGGCCAGTGAGAGCACGGGGGATGCAGCACCAATGCACTATCCTGCCGGGTGCTGGCCCGTGGCAGCTCTGGGATCAGCAGCCCTCAGCGTGGGGCGAGCTTGGGGGATTTAATGGTTCTGGGTCCAGATTGCGCTCCTAGAACTCTCCCTCCCTGATTCTCTGGTGGGGAGAATCTGTGGACGCTTCCAGCTCCCACCTTCGTACAGATAACATGCAAAGTGACCTCTTCCCCTTGGCCAGGCCCTGATCTCCGGCTGCCTCTGGGACCTTCCCACAGGGAGGGGGCACAGGCCTGGGCGTCAGGATTCCGGGGTTCTATTCCCCGCTCTGGGAAGCGAGCGGGGACTAGTGGTCAGAGCAGTGGAGGGCTGGGCGTCAGGACTCCTGGATTCTATTCCCACCTCTGCCATTGATTCATCATGTGACCTAGGGCAAACTCATTGCCCTGTTTATGCCACAGCTTCCTTGTCTGTGCAATGAGGGTGACGCCCACCCATCACCCAAAGGGGCTCTGAAGCTGAATTCATTCATGTCCGTAAAGGGCAGCGAAAGCCTGGTGTGAAAGGGGCTGTAAACCTGCTACTTCACTAGGATCGTCTGCTTCTGTCCCCAGAGAAATGCAGCCTGATCAAGAAATTTAAACAACCCCCTGCTGACATCTCTGTCCGCATCGAAGCCGCGTGTGAGGCTGGGGTGGATTATGGTAAGACAGGCCCTGTGTTCTGGCCCTATTTCTCCTGATCAGCTGTTGTCCAAGGGAGGGCCAAAGCTGGGGGGTGGTGGGGCGAGATCTACCAGTGATCCCAGAGGCAATGAACTCCTGATCTGGGCAGAGATAATTGCAATGAGCGTAGTGGCAGCAGGCCATGTAACAGGGTACATGTGGACTCCACCACATTCCTTGGCTGATACAGAGATGGGGGCTCTGGGCTGGGACTCAGCAGAGCTGGGATCTGTTCCTGCCTCTGGCCTGCTGGGTGACCTTGGGCAGGTCATATCCCTTCAGTGCCTCAGTTTTCCCAACTATAAAATGGGGATAATGATACTGACCTAATTTGAGATCTAATGATGATAAGACCTAGGTACAATGATTTATCTGAAATGAATGGCTGAACTTTTTTAACAAGTGTTTTTTCCCCACCTGTTGCTCAGCCATTTGAGTTAAATATTTAAAACCCACCAAGTTTTAAACAGTCTGAATAAAACCCACTCCCCGTTCCCAGTTAGACTGAGGACAGCCATGCCTGGGAGATCCGCTCTCTGGGCAAACACAGAGCCCTCTGGTGGGGGGGTGGGGAAGAGTCTGAATTCATCATGTATCTTCCCCCAGGCCTTTTACACAGCAAGACAACCTGGATCAAGCCCATTCCCACCCCCACCTGCAGGTTCCCCTTTAGTGCCTGAGACCCATTGATTTAGGACCCTACATCCCATGCCCTCACTGATCAAGGAAGCAGCCAAGCGCTGAGCAAGTGGGATTCTAGATGACAACTGGTGTTGCCCCTTTGCCCCAGTGGGTGGGATTTGATTCTATTCTGTACAGGTTCTTGTCCCATAAGACACAGATCTGGAAGGGACCCTCTGGGTCATCAAGTCCAGTCCCCTGCAGACACCCCCTTCACCGTGGTATCTGGCCTGTATTCTGTAGATCCACCTAGACGGTCACGATGGTGCCTTCGGGCTTTAACAGATCTCTGACTGCCATCTTCTCCCCCAGTCTATAAAGCTCAGCTGGTGAAGGTGGAGCAGAACGGGATGTACAATTACTTCACTATGAGGATCGTGCAGGTCGTTAAGGAAGGTAACGGCCCTTGCGGTGAATGTCTGTCCGCGTCTCACCCTGCGTGCTGGCTGTCCTCATCACAGGGTGCAATGCTGCTCCTCTCTCATCCGCCGTCCCCCGCTCAGGGGCTTTTAACCTGCGTTTTATTTCTCTACATCTGGGGAGGTGAATTTAGTGCTCCTTGAAAACGATGGAGTACATGGCACCAGCTGAGAACCGCACAGTTCAGGAGGGCTCATGAAGTCAGTCCACGCAGCTGATGCCCCACAGTCCCGACCCACAGCCCCCTGCTGACCCAGTCCTGGGCTTCCCCCCTCCCAGCTCTGCCAGTGCCCCTCCATCCTGACCCACAGCGACCCACAGCCCCCTGCTGGCTCAGCCCTGGGCTTCCCCCTTCCCCCCCAGCTCTGCCGGTGCCCCTCCATCCTGACCCACAGCCCCCTGCTAGCCCAGCCCTGGGGTTCCCCCCTCCCAGGTCTGCCAGTGCCCCTCCATCCTGACCCACAGCGACCCACAGCCCCCTGCTGGCCCAGCCCTGGGCTTCCCCCTTCCCCCCCCAGCTCTGCCGGTGCCACTCCATCCTGACCCACAGCCCCCGGGGCTCCCCTTTCACCTTCAGTCATGTCCCTTAGACCCCCTGCTATGCCCAGGGCTGGATTAATCTTTTGTGGGCCCCGGCACCCAGACCTTGGCCCTGTCCCCCGCTCCGCCCCTGCTCAGCCCCTTCCCACCGAGACCCCTCCCATGCTCTGCCCTGAGGCCCCGCCCCTGCTCAGTCTCTTCCTTCCAAGGCCCCGCCCACCACTTGCACTGGGGGGAGGGGGAGGAGAGGCGCAAGCCCTGGGTGAAGCCACAGGGGGCGGGGCCATGGTCCAGGGCCAGGGCCCCCTCTGAGCGTGAGCCCAACGCCACAGCATCATTGTAAACCCGGTACCGGCCATGCCACACCTGGGCTTCCCTCTCCCTAGCTCTGCTGATGCGCCTTAATCCTACCCCACAGCCCGCCTGCTATTCCAGCCCTGTGTTTCCCCCCCCCAGCTCTGCCCATGCCCATCGGTGTCATCAGAGACGTTGTGAAAAACGGCCTTGCCCGTCCCCGAGAGCCCGTCACACTGAGGTGCGCGGCTAGAAAACGCTCCAGACTGATCAATGCTCCAGCTGCCCCCGCATCCCTCCCGGTGGCTTTTAGCTGTCAGCTTCGACCTTGGTAGTCTCCTAACCGCTCCCTGAGCCTGCCAGGGGCTCCGCGGGAGAGGCCGACACTTCCAAACGTTGTCTTCGTTCTAGATCAGAACACAGCCAAAAACCGAAACTTCCTGCTCAACCAAATTTTGATTCGGGTCAGCAGCAACGCTCCTTTGCGATCAAACCAAACGCTTCTGTTCTGATCTCGACTTTCCCGACGGTTCTAGTAGAAAATAAAATAATTTTCGAACCAAAAAAACCCTCAGTATTCCAGTCCCAAAGTGGAGGATTTTGGCTGAATCAGCACACTCCTTTCAACGTTTTTTTAAACAAAGTTTTGTCCGAATCGACACGTTCTTCCTGATTTCAACAAACCGGTATTTTGCAATGGAAAATTGTCCTGTTAAAAAAACATTGATTAGCATTACCCCTGCCTGAGAGGCAGCCAGGCCCCTTTGTGATGCCGGCCCTGAACTGGCTGCTGCTTTCATCCCATTCAGCTGCATGTTTTCAAAGATGACTGGAGGAGATAGACACTCAAGTCAGTGTGATTTGGACTCCTAAATCCCTTTAACTCCTTTGAGAAGCCCAGCCTAAATATCAAACCCGCCACATGTTTACTTGCAGTATATATTTCAGTCACTCACTGTCGCTGTGCAATGAAGAGGCCCAGACAGCATGTGGTCCCTGGTAAACATGAGATACAAAGTTGCGTGTCAAGCTCTGTGGAAGCCAGTTTGTTAGAGTCTCTGATTGTTTCCTTTAATAAACGCCCCCTATTTAAAGGACTGTGATTCCATGTTTTGTGACCATGGGAGCCCTTTTCCAACAAGACAGAGGAATCCAGATTCTGATCTCATTTACACCAGCAAAAATCAGGAGTGACTCTATTGACAGGGATTTTGAACTCACCTGCCCCGATGTCCTAAGAACTGGGCCATACTGGGTCAGACCAATGGTCCATCTAGCCCAATATCCTATCTTCTGACGGTGGCCAATGCCAGGTGCTTCAGAGGGAATGAATCATTGAGTGATCCATCCCCTGTTGTCCACTCCCAGCTTCTGGCAGTCAGAGGCTTGAGACACCCAGTGCATGGGGTTGCATCCCTGACCATCTTGGCTAACAGTCATGGATGGACCTATCCTCCAAATGTCAATCCAGAGCGACCCCAGGGAGACAGATTCTGAGCACATGTCAAACTAAAAGAGACCCCTTTGAAATCGAGAGTCACTCTGGATTGGTACCTGTTTAACTGAGATCAGACTCTTCTGCAGTGGGTCTGGCTCCTGTTCGCTGATCTGCCATCAGCGATCATTCTGCTCCCCACGCTCATAGGCCATCGCTGGCTTTTTTTTTTAAAGGGACAGAGCAAGGCATCCAGGGGAAGACCCGTCGATTTATCAGCCCAGTGGCTTGCAAGGCGACCCTGAACCTGCTGGAGAACAGGAGCTACTTGATCTGGGGCCTCAGCAGTGACCTGTGGGATCTGAAGACTGAGTGAGTCTCCAGCAGGCTCCTGGAGAGGCAGGAGGATTATGAGGAAGGGGGGGAAGAGTGGGCTGGTGGTTAATGCACTAGGCTGGGACTCAAGAGAAGTGGGTTCAATTCCCAGCTCTGCCACTGACCCCATGTGATCTTGGGTAAGTCACTTCATCTCTGTGCCTCAGTTCCTGCTCTGTCCCGCTCCCAGCAACAGCGGGGCCCTGAGCCAAGTGCTCCCATACTAACAATGGGAGGTGGTTCCCCTTAATGCCCCGTGATCTCTGCCAGGCTGTACGCTGGACATGCGGGGTCACCCCCTCACCCGCGAAGGGCTGTGGTAATGTTTCCTCCTGCTCTCTTTCCCAGGATGGCTTACTTGCTTGGGAGCGGTTCCTGGGTTGAGCTGTGGCCAAACCCCATGGAATGCCAACAGGGACATTTCCGTGCCCTCTGCAAGGGGCTGGAGGAGTTTGCCCAGCACATGATGACAAACGGCTGCCCTTCATAGGCCGAGAAGAGGAGGACCCAGGAACGTCACTAGCTGTCACCCTTTCTGTGGGGAGGTCTCCCTTGTCCCCCATGCCCCCATCTATAATGTTAATTGGAGTCATGGCAGAACCTCTATACATTTCACAGCAGCAGGGGTAGGACTCACATCCTCCTGCATGCAGTCCCCTGCCTCTGGATCTGCAGGAGAATCTCCTACAGCTGCTCGTAGCATGGGCTTATGACACACAGTTATGCAGTTCAAATTCCATCCAGTAGAGGGCAGCAGCGGACGTACACACAGCTCATGACACTGCTGTTTTCCATAACCCTCTATTATCCTTGTAATACCCCCTGCTCTGCGATTTCTACTGATCCAAGCTCTCTGGACACAGAGGACAGAGCACGGAACCGTAGCTTGTGTGGGTCGTTCCCACCTCTGAGATACCCAAGGCCTCTGTCATTTCTTTACACCGTGGCACACTTCAACCGTCCCTGAACTGAACTGAATACTCCTTTGTACAGCACCTGTTACAATGCCCACCCCCTCTGAATCCTCAATCCAGAAACTTTGTGCCTCCTCAGGGAGCTATCCTGAGGCATCTGTCTGGGTTTGTACCTGTTTTATCCCACGAATGTGAATAAAGTTTTGCGGCAGCAGGGAAACGGCTGTCAGCACCCATAAGGGGAGATTTATTTCATGGGCTGCTTTAGATTGACTCCAAGCCCTCTATAACCCTAGGGAAACTTAATGCGCCATGTGGATGCTCTAGATGGTAAGATCTTTGGGGCAGGAGCTGTCTTTTCATTCTGTGGTTGTACAGCGCCTGGCACGGTGCGGTCCTGGGTGCTGTGATCATACAAATAATTTAAAATAGCCTGGAATAAAGGTGACTTTATTCCAGAATGACTCTGCATTAGAAGCACCCTAATACTTGCAGAATAAAGTGATTTCTGGTCTGGAATTGAGTATCCAGGAGGAGCTACTCCAGTCAGTGTCTATGTATAAACAAGGAAGGATGATGGTCTAGTGGTTAAAGCATTGACCTAGGATGTGGGAGCCTTGGGTTTAATTCCCTACTCTGTCCTCTTCTGACCCTGGGCAAGTCACATGGCCTCTCCATGCCTCAGTTCCCCCACTGAACAACAGGGATAACAGCACTGCCTCACAGGGGGTCGAGGATAAACCCATTAAAGAGTGTGAAGTGTTTGAGTTCCAGTGATGAAAAGCACCATATCAGAAATCGGCATTATTTCATTACCAAGCTTCCCCCTGTGCCCACCCCTTCTTACGCAGCAGGAAGACGAAGGGGGAACATTTTGGCTAAGATTCCTGAGCACGGACCCAGCCTCGGCACATCTGGGCTCCGCCTGCAATCAAACAACCCCAAGCAATCTCTAGGGTAAAAGGCAAAGGACCCTCCCGTGCTGTTTTGCTGAGCATTCGGGTTGGCTTTTGCTCGGAACTGGCACATCTCAGCAAGTGGCGGGTTTGTTTAAAGCCTTCCATGATCCAGGGGCTTGATTCTCACTTGCCCTACAGCCCCTTTGATGCTGCTGTTGCAAAGTAAAGGGACCACAGAGCTGAGAGATCTCTCCTAGCACAGGGCATTGCTTGAGCTGCTAACCCCTTGAAGCTCCTGACACAGGGGATGTGGTCAAGCTGGAGTGGGCACGGCCAGCATGAAAAACTAGCCAAACAGCGGTCCAGATTAGTTAGTGGTGCGCTAGCCATGCCCCCTTGGCTCTGGCCGCACTTGTGCTCCACATCACTGCAGGAAGCCCCGGTGGCTGTTCAGTGTGTAGGTTAGAGTTGCCTCAAGGCAGCTAAGCAGGAAGGGGCAAAAATGGTGTAAACCCACCTCTGCCCCTGTCCCTGATGCCAGTGGTGAATGGATCTCAGCCAGAGCAGGGAATCAGGGGCCCAGCCCAGGGTTTCCAGCAATTGTGGGGTACAAAGCCCCCATGTGGGCAGCTTCTCACTGGGCTGGTTCTGGGCCTTGCTCCAGCCAAATCCCAGAACTGCAGTGAGCAGGGAAATTGTTACTAAGACCATAAGAACGGCCATACTGGGTCAGACCAATGGTCCACCTAGCCCAGTGTCCTGTCTTCTGACAGTGGCCAATGCCAGATGCTTCCAATCATCAGGTGATCCATCCTCTGTTGCCCAGTTCCAGCATCTGGCAGTCAGAGGTTTAGGGACATCCAGAGCATCTTGGTCCCTGACTGTCTTGGTCAATAGCCATTGATGGACCTAACCTCCATGAACGTATCTAATTCGTTTTTGAACCCAGATATAGTTTTGGCCTTTGTAACTGCCCCTGGCAACAAGTTCCAGAGGTTGACTGTGTGCTGTGCGAAGAAATACTTCCTTTTGTTTGTTTTAAGCCTGAGGCCTAGTAATATCATTGGGTGAGCCCTAGTTCTTGTGTTAGGTGAAGGGGTAAATAACTCTTCCTAAGTCACTTACTCCGCATCAGTCCGGATTTTAGAAACCTCCAGTTTATCCCCCCCTTAGTTATCTCTTTTTTCAAACTGAGCAGTCCCAGATTTTTTAATCTCTCCTCCTATGGACGCTGCTCCACACCCCTAATCATTTGTGTTGCCCTTCTCTGCACCTTTTCCATTTCAAATACATCTTTTTTGAGTTGGGGCGACCAGAACTGCACACAGTATTCGTGATGTGGGCGTACCATGGATTTATATAGTGGCATTGTGATCATTCTGCCTTATTATCTATCCCTTTCCTAATGGTTCCTACCAGGCTGTTCACTTTTTTGACGGCCGCTGCACATTGAACGGATCTTTTCAGAGAACTCTCCACAATGACTCCAAGATCTCTTTCCTGAGTGGTGACAGGTAATTTGGATCCCACCGTTTTGTATGGACAGCTGGGATTATATTTTCCAATGTGCATTACTTTGCATTTATCAACACTGAATTTCATCTGCCATTTTCTTGCCCAGTCACCTAGTTTAGTGAGATCCCTTTGTAACTCTTCGCAGTCAGTTTTGGGTTTACAAAATTGCTCAAGGTAGTTATCATCTGCAGACTTTGCCACCTTGCTATTTACAGCTTTCCCCAGATCATTTATTAATACGTTGAACAGCTCAGGCACCAGTACAGATCCCTGGGAAACATCACTATTTATCTCTCCCCATTCTGAAAAAGACCAGTTATTCCGACCCTTTGTTTCCTATCTTCTAACCAGTTTGTGGGAGCACTTTCCCTTTTATCCCATGACGGCTTACTTCGCTTAAGAGCCTGTGACAAGGGACCTTGTCAAAGTCTTTCTGAAAGTCTACGTACAGTATATCCACTGGATCACTCTTGTCCACATGTTTATTGAGCCCCCAAAGAATTCTAGTAGATTGGTGAGGCATGATTTCCCTTTACAGAAGCCGTGTTGACTTTTCCCCAACAAATCGTGTTCATCTGTGTGTCCGACAATTCTGTACTTTACCTTAGTTTCAGTCAATTTGCTGGTACTGAAGTCAGGTTTACCAGCTTGTAATTGCCAGGATCGCCTCTGGAGCCTTTTTTAAAAATTGGCATCACCTTCGCTATCCTCCAGTCATGTGGTCCAGAAGCTGATTTAAGTGTTGGTGACATACTGCAGTGAGTAGTTCTGCAGGGTCCCCCTTTATCATTTTAAAGAATTTATCATTGAACTTTGAATCTCAAAAGCATTTTCGGGGTCAGAACACGGAGGGCGGGGAGGGGCTCACACGACACAGTGAGACCCAGCAAGTTGTGTTTGGAAATATCTGAGCTGGGCATGGCCAGTACGGGAGCACGTTGGCATGCTAACGCTGTGCAATTTATTCAAGAGGCATAAACTGACGGCGGCTCAGCCCTAGGGTACAGTTGTTTGGAAGTGCACAACAAAATGGCCCAAACCTCAAAAAACACCTTAGCCACATGCTTCAAAGTTTGGCGACTTCAAAATAAAGTGCGCATATAAAAAGAAATCAAGGACAGCAGCAACTCGGCTGTCGTGAGCCACAGTACAATCACAAAGCCCCACTGCACGCTCCAGCCCCACAATCACAAAGCCCCACTGCACGCTCCAGCCCCACAATCACAAGCCCCACTGCACGCTCCAGCCCCACAATCACAAAGCCCCACTGCACGCTCCAGCCCCACAATCACAAGCCCCACTGCACGCTCCAGCCCCACAATAACAAGCCCCACTGCACACTCCAGCCCCCAATAACAAGCCCCACGTGCACGCTCCAGCCCCCAATCACAAAGCCCCACTGCACGCTCCAGCCCCCAATCACAAAGCCCCACTGCACGCTCCAGCCCCCAATAACAAGCCCCACTGCACACTCCAGCCCCCAATAACAAGCCCCACGTGCACGCTCCAGCCCCCAATCACAAAGCCCCACTGCACGCTCCAGCCCCACAATCACAAGCCCCACTGCACGCTCCAGCCCCACAATAACAAGCCCCCTGCACGCTCCAGCCCCCAATCACAAGCCCCACTGCACGCTCCAGCCCCACAATCACAAGCCCCCCTGCACGCTCCAGCCCCCAATCACAAAGCCCCACTGCACGCTCCAGCCCCACAATCACAAGCCCCCCTGCACGCTCCAGCCCCACAATAACAAGCCCCACTGCACGCTCCAGCCCCACAATCACAAGCCCCCCTGCACGCTCCAGCCCCCAATAACAAAGCCCCACTGCACGCTCCAGCCCCCAATCACAAAGCCCCACTGCACGCTCCAGCCCCACAATAACAAGCCCCACTGCACGCTCCAGCCCCCAATCACAAAGCCCCACTGCACGCTCCAGCCCCCAATCACAAAGCCCCACTGCACGCTCCAGCCCCACAATCACAAAGCCCCACTGCACGCTCCAGCCCCCCAATCACAAGCCCCACTGCACGCTCCAGCCCCCAATCACAAAGCCCCACTGCACGCTCCAGCCCCACAATCACAAGCCCCACTGCACGCTCCAGCCCCCCAATCACAAGCCCCACTGCACGCTCCAGCCCCACAATAACAAGCCCCCCTGCACGCTCCAGCCCCACAATCACAAAGCCCCACTGCACGCTCCAGCCCCACAATCACAAAGCCCCACTGCACGCTCCAGCCCCACAATCACAAAGCCCCACTGCACGCTCCAGCCCCCCAATCACAAAGCCCCACTGCACGCTCCAGCCCCACAATCACAAAGCCCCACTGCACGCTCCAGCCCCACAATCACAAAGCCCCACTGCACGCTCCAGCCCCCCAATACAAGCCCCACTGCCCCCCCCCACAATCACAACCCCACTGCACGCTCCAGCCCCACAATAACAAAGCCCCACTGCACGCTCCAGCCCCCAATAACAAAGCCCCACTGCACGCTCCAGCCCCCAATCACAAAGCCCCACTGCACGCTCCACCCCCACCCCCCCAATAACAAAGCCCCACTGCACGCCCCAGCCCCCAATAACAAGCCCCCCGCCCCCTCCAGCCCCCCATAACAAAGCCCCACTGCACGCTCCAGCCCCCAATACAAGCCCCCTCACGCTCCAGCCCCCAATAACAAAGCCCCACTGCACGCTCCAGCCCCACAATAACAAAGCCCCACTGCCGCTCCAGCCCCCAATAACAAAGCCCCACTGCACGCTCCAGCCCCACAATAACAAGCCCCACTGCACGCTCCAGCCCCCAATAACAAAGCCCCACTGCACGCTCCAGCCCCACAATCACAAGCCCCCTGCACGCTCCAGCCCCCAATAACAAAGCCCCACTGCACGCTCCAGCCCCCAATCACAAGCCCCACTGCACCTCCAGCCCCACAATAACAAAGCCCCACTGCACGCTCCAGCCCCCAATAACAAGCCCCACTGCACGCTCCAGCCCCACAATAACAAAGCCCCACTGCACGCTCCAGCCCCCAATCACAAGCCCCCTGCACGCTCCAGCCCCCCATAACAAAGCCCCACTCACCTCCAGCCCCCAATACAAGCCCCCTGCACCTCCAGCCCCCCATAACAAAGCCCCACTGCACGCTCCACCCCCACAATAACAAACCCCACTCACCTCCGCCCCCAATAACAAACCCCACTCACCCCAGCCCCACAATAACAAAGCCCCACTCACCTCCAGCCCCCAATGACAAGCCCCACTGCACCTCCAGCCCCCCCCCCACACAAGCCCCACTGCACGCTCCAGCCCCCAATCACAAGCCCCCCTGCACGCTCCAGCCCCCAATCACAAGCCCCCCTGCACCCCGAGTTACCTTGGAGGGGGGCGGGGATACCGGAGGGTGCCGCCGGGGCGCGACAGGCGGAAGGGCGGGGCATGGGGGGCGCTGGGCAGGGCTGGGGGAGGCCGGCCCGCAGGGACTACAAGCCCCGGCGTGCTGCGGGCTGGCGGGGCGTTTCCCTCGGCTGGTCGGGTGAAGGAGCCGTAGCTGGAGCCGCTGCAAGGCGGGGACTGGCTGAGCCGGGGATCGATCCGGCGCGCAGCGGTGCAGGTAGGCGGGGGGCTGGGCGCCGAGCTCGCGGCTCCAAGGGCAGCTGAATCCTGCAGCAAGGGGCTCCCCCCGCCCCCGTCTCGGGCGGGAGGGGGATAAAGCGGGGCTTCGCCTTGTGCTCAGCCTTCCCCTGATCCTGTGGGGCTGGGAGATTGGGGTGCATGGGGGGGGGGTAAGAAAGGTAGGGGTGCAATGCGGATCGGAGCCCAGGCGGACCCAGGGGTGCACGGGGAAGAGCTGAGAGCTAAGGGGAGCGGGGGTGCATTGATGAAGGGGAAAAGCTGGGTGGGGGGCAGGAAAGATCGGGGTGCCATGTGGTTCTGAGAGCAGGGGTGCACTGGGGAGCAAGATCTGGGAACTAAGGACCCCTGGGAGGCGGGTGCAGTGGGTGGGGCTGGCAGTCGGGTGCAAAGTGCAACGGGGATGTTGGGAACTGGGCCTGCAGCAGTGACAAGGTGTTTTGGGGGTGTCCATCGGAAGTACAGTCCAGAGTGGCTCTCTGGGGAGCTGCCTGAGAACCACCTTCCAGGGTGGGGAGCCCGGCGGAGATCTTCCTGTGGAGAGCGGAGCCCCATCTTCTATATATAGCCTGATCCTGCAGGGTCTAGCACCAGAATAAGCCAAGATTAGTCAGGCTGGCTACAGCCTCTGTGTCTGCTGCTTTCCCAGAGAGCCAGGGACGGACACAGAGCTCTGAGGCTGGTGCCATTTTGAGCAGTAACCGTGAATTTCCAGGGAGCGCTGACCATCTCCCCTCCTTTCTCCCACCTGGATCAGACTCCCACAGCCCCGGAGTCCCCCCGACTCACATGGCCCATAATTCTGGACCGTACCTGTGGTCAGTTAAAGTTTGTACCGACCCTTGGTACTCGCTGGGTTCTGGGGTGACCCACCTGGGTTCTGTGTCTTCTCTGACCCGCAGGCCTGGGTGAAACACTGACACGGCCCTCTGCATTTCATCAGTGTTGATATTACAGAAACACGTAGGTCGTGGCCTTGCACAGAGCCCCAGCCATGATCAGGGCCCACCCCATCGTGCCGGGCACTACACAGACCCCCATCATGCCAGATGCTGCACAGACATATAGTGAGAGACAGTCCCAGCCCTGGAGATTTTACAGTATACACAGAGGAAGGCTGGGTATAAGGAATTATTATTGTCCCCATTTTGCAGGCCGGGAAACTGAGGCCGTAACTTGCCTCAGGGCTGCGAGGGGCAGAGCTGGAAACTGAGCCCAGTTCTCCTTTGTCTGCCTGTCACTTTAGATTTTTTGGGGCAGGGACCGTCTCTTACTCTGTGCAGCGCCTGGTGTGACGGGGGACCCCAATCTCAGCTCTGGCTTGTAGGTGCCCCAAAGTACAAAATTACAGTCCTAGAAGTGTTGCATTTAAAGGGCCTTTCGTTCTATGAGCGACTGGGCTTGTTTTGTGCATATCCCACCTGCTCAGCAGTCGGCTGTGGACTTCGGGGTCCCTTTTAAAGAGCTTTTATATCCTCAGTCAATATAAATGCAGTTTATAACAGAGCGTAATTGAACAAGAATAAATCTGGAGAAGGATCTCCTCCTTCCAGGCCCAACCCCCTCGTTAATCGTCCCCTGGCCCCTTTGCCCGCTTGGGTGCTTCCCTGTGCTACCCAATTGTGACGGAAGTCTCAGCCGGGTGAGATCAGCAGGATGGGCCTTTCGTCCACAAAGAAATCAAAGCTTAGATCAATAATAGCCCAGCTTCCGTCCTTTGTTTGGTTATAATTCCCCACCCGGTGCTGCGGCCGACCGGAGAGCAGCCTTGCTGAGTCTGAACTGGGTCAGGGGAGAGACCCACGGCCCGGGTCCAGCTTGAATAACTGAGATCCAGGGCAGGAGTTGCCATGAGGAGCTGTTGCCTGGTCATTATTAATTGCCGACTGCCTTGGCTCGGGGCCCTCTGTCGTGTCTGGCCCGTCAAACGGCTCCGCTGACGAAACCTGATGTTTGCCAACTTATCGAGTTATTGGGGGTGTTGTGGTATCCCCTGGAGACCCCATCTGCGATCGGGACGGGGGGCCCGTCGTGCCGGGTGAGAGCCAGTCCCGTGCTCCAATGAGCTCCCAGCCTAAATAGACCAAGGAGGGGAGGGGGAAAAGAGGCACAGAGCAGCTGTGCCTTGCCCAAGCTCGCCCAGAGGCCGAGCCGGGAAATAGAACCACTGCCCTCGTCTGCCCCCCGTGCTGTGGATTCCTGGCAGAGCTGGGTCACCAGCAAGCCCTGATTCCCCCCCCGCCCCCGTTCCCAAGCGTGCTGACGCGGCCGCACGGCGCGGGTGCCGGGGCCCTGGAGTGTAGACGCAGCCTCCGGGCAGCAGCGGGTTCCTGGCAGCATGAGAACGGCCCCGGCCCCGGATGACGGGGGCGTCCCGCCTGGCTGCGTCTACACCAGGGGTGAGGGTGGTTGGTTACGGCGCGCGGGGGTTGGGCTCTTTGCTGCCCTGCGCCCGGTCGCTCACGTCGGCCTCCGTTTGACGGGCGGAGCCGGCCCCGGGGATAAGAGGCTGAGGTGGTTCCAGAATAGAACCACATGTGCTCCCGCGGGAGGGGGATGGGCTGAGGCTGGTGCCACTTCACCTGGTGGAAATCCTCTCCTAGAAAGAGACCGGGATCGGGGGGTGTCATGCAGAGGGCAACCAGATCAGTGAAGCAGGAGATGGGACTGGCCCAACCGAGTAGATCAGTGGGGGGAGGGAGAGCTCAGTGGTTTGAGCGTTGGCCTGTTAAACCCAGGGTTGCGAGCTCAATCCTTGAGGGGGCCCTTTAGGGATCTGGGAAGAATTGGGGATTGGCCCTGCTTTGGGCAGGGGGTTGGACTAGATGACCTCCTGAGGTCTCTTCCAACCCTCATATTCTATGATTCTGTGCCTCACGCCTAACACCCCCAGCCCCCATTAAGCCCCACTCTCCCCGCCAGAGCTGGGGTTAGAACCCAGGAGTCTTGATGCCGCCCTCCCCTCTAGGTGCTCTGCTCCCTTCCCAGAGCTGCAGCTAGAACCCAGGGGTCCTGACTTGCAACCTTCCCACTCTAGCCACTAGACTCCACTCCCTCAACCCTCTTTGAACCTGACTTCTCTTGCCTGTTTGTAACAGACAGACAGACAGAGGGATGTCCTGCAGGACCGTGCTGCTGACTGGCTGCTCCTCCGGGATAGGGCTGGCTCTGGCCGTCCGGCTGGCTAAAGATGAGCTGAAGAGATTCCGAGGTGAGAAGGTCGGGATGGGGATTATAAAGAGCTGGAGAAGAAGAGGAACATGGGGCATAGGGCAGGGAAATGATAATGATCTTACTACTTCTATGGCCTTTTATCCCCAGGGGCTTTATAGCCCTATGTGCCGAATCACTTCTCCCACCACTGAGATGCAGCCACCTCTGGGGTGGGATGTGGCTGCTGTTAATACAGAGATTGTTCAGCCAGTTTTGAAATGCAGCCACTGTTGGGATGGGGTGTGGTAACAGTTTATGCTCACCCACTGCTGAGATGCAGCTGCCTCTGGGGTGGGGCACAGCAGCTGTTAATACAGAGATTGCTCAGCCACTGCGGAGATGCAGCCACCTCTGGTCCTGCCCCATTAAATGGCACCATTCTGCCTCACAGCACCCACTGGTGCCACACTGGCATAGCCTGCGAGGGGAGAGCACCCCCTACTGAGCCCCCACCCTGGTTCTGCAGCACAGTTCCCCCTAGTGCATCAGAGTCTGCACAGACAGCCTCCCCCAACCCTCCTGTGCCCCCTACTGAGCCCCTCACCCTGCAGCACCCATCTTTGCCCTGGAAGTCTCCCATCCAAGCACCGGCCAGGCCCGAGCCTGCTTAGCACAGGAGTGGGGCCCTGAGCTTCCTGGCTGGTTTGAACCCTCCTGGCCACCCCCCATCTCTCTGCCTAGTCATCGCCACCATGAGGAATCTGGACAAGCGCGAGGCCTTGGAGAAGCAAGCGGGGCCGGCTTTGGACAAGACCCTGGAAATCCGCCAGATGGATGTGACCAGCGAGGAATCCATCCGGCGCTGCGTGGAGGGCATTCCCCAGCGGAGAGTGGACGTGCTGGGTAGGACAGCCGGCCCGGCCGCACGGGGCTGCGTGGGCCGCCTGCCTTGGAACGCACCCGGTGGGGGGAGGTTGGGGGACCGCTGCGCTCTTCCCTGCAGGCAGTGTGGCTCCCTGGCCCCACAGACCCACCGTGGGAATGGGGGCCGGAGCAGCTGGGGGTTCCTCCAGCGGAGGGAGTCTAAGGAATTTCTTGTCTTGGGTGCCTTGGACCCCGCCCACTTAGACACTCCCGTTTTTCTCGCCTGTAACTTACACAGCCCCTTACAGGTAGCGGCTGCATTTGCTCCCCTGAGTCTCTACTCCTAACTCCTGGGTGCATCAGTGGCAAACCTTGTGCACGCACACGCGTTGGTAAAGGGGTGTGAGGCTCGGAGGGGAGGCTGGTGTAACTGGAGGAGCTGGGTGGCTTCGCCCTGCTCATTTGCCCCCGCTAAAAATCCGGCCACAAATGCGAGGGCTCTTCGGCACTAAGGTTGCTGTGTGGGGCAAGGGGGCGGTTGACACCGGATCTCACGCACGTGCGCCCGGCTGGCCTTGCTGGGTGGTGACCCAGCGGAGGGTTCGGCCGAACAGGGAAGGGGACGCTCTGTAAAGTGGGGATCTTGATGCCTTCCCCAGCAGAGCTGAGCCCCTGCTCAGGGAGAGCATAGGAAACGCCATATGAGATCAGACCCATGGGCCCATCTAGCCTGGCGTCCCCCAGCCCCCATGCCTTCCTACCTTGGATGGGCCCATCTAGGATGTCAGGCCATGAGGCCTGTGGGGTCGCCCCGCCCGAAGGAAAGGATAGGGAGCCCCAATGTGTGGGCCCGCCAGAGAGCCGGATGGGCCGTTTGTGCTTCTGCCTTTGGTGATCGGAGCCGGGGGGAAAAGAGGATCCCGGCTGCCCCCTGTCTCCGTGGGGCTCCCCACTTCCAGTCTGCGCTCACCCCCGCCCCAGTAGCTGCCATACCCTGGGGGGTTCCTGGGGCTCGCATGTCCTCCCCCTGTTGCAGTGAACAACGCGGGGCTGGGCATGATCGGGCCGGTGGAGAGCCAGAGCGTCGCTGCCATGAAGAGCCTCTTTGACACCAACTTCTTCGGGCTGGTGCGACTGGTGCGCGAAGTCTTCCCCGACATGAAGCGCCAACGCCGGGGCCACATCGTGGTGATGAGCAGCGTGCTGGGGCTGCAAGGTGAGGCCGGGGGACGGGGCAGGGAGGCCTGTGGCCCCTGGGGACCGGCTGCACCTTGCTGATTTGGTGTGGGGGAGGGGGACAGGTCCAGGCTCCTGTTGGAGGTGACGGGGCCCCTGCTGTGTGGAAACCACCCAGAGCCGCAGCCTGCCCCCCCATGGGACACTGACCTCCCCCCTTTCCCCTTCTGGGACCCCTCAGTGAGCCCCGGGCTTCCTCCCCACGGGACCCCGCCTCCCCACTCTCCTGCTGGGACCCGGAGCCCTGGGCTCTCCCGCCCCCGTGAGACACCGACCCCAGTGTGCTGGGTGCTGTGTGTTATTTATTAGGTGTTGTGACCGGGGTCCTAATGGGGAGCCAGCTGTGGTCACTCAATTAGGGTGAGCTGGGAAGAATGGGGCAGCCAAACCCCCAAAAGCTGGTGGATATTCCAATACTTACCAAGCCAGCTTAAAATAGCTTCTTTATTACCTCACTGGCTGCTCAGAAGTCCAAAGAACACAGTTCCCTTAAAGTGATCCAGCCTCGGCCTCCATCCAGGTACCCACGTCAAATATGATGAAAATTTCTGTAAATCTTATTTCATCCTATAAAAGAAAAGGTTCTCCCAATCCCGAAGAATCGGACACATGACCTCCCAGGTGAACGCATGTTTCTGATCTTACCCAAACACCCGCTTCAGCCGATTCTTATTAACTAAACTAAAATGTATTAAGACACGAGAGAGAGAGAGTCTGGTTAAAAGATCAATATACAGACAGACATGAGTTCAAGCCATTGAGGTGCAGATTCACAGCAGAGACGGTGAGCTTTGTAGTGGCAAAGAGTTCATAGGCGATAGTCCAATGTCCAAATCTCATATTCCGGGTGTACCAGCATAACTGGGACCTCAGTCTTGTGACTCAAACTTCCCCTGATGAAGTCTAAGCAGATCTGAGATCACAGAATCAGGACCCAAGGCTCTTTTATGCAATGTCATGTCCTCTTTGACAAGTTGGGATTTCCTTGGGGAACAAAAGGTAATTACGATGACTTTGAAGGAGGTCCATCACCGGTTCTTAGCTATATGAATTAGCATAAGGCCATTCACAGTACAGTTCAAAGAGAGATGAATACCGAGATATCCCGTGTTTACAATTCATTTAAATGCTAGGATCTTCTTTTGACCTCTGAATGATCAGAATACAGCGTAGACAGGGACTGTTGATTACATTGTCCACCCTACTCACACATCTGTAAATACACAAAAACACAAACATTATCTCCCCACAGGTCTTTTGAGGGTTATTTATTTTGCAGGATGTTTAACCCTTTCTAGCCATGCATCACAGGTGTATTACGGTAGCCCCTAGGAGCCCCAGCCATGGCCCAGGGCCCCACTGCGCTAGGCGCTGTACAAACGCAGAGCAAGCAGCTGGTCTCTGCCTCCAAGACCTTACAATCGAGATATAAGACAGGAGACGGATGCGGGAGCCCCAGGAGCTGGTGGGACAATTCTGGTCAGTACCACGGGCAGGTGTCTCCGCTCCCTGGCGGCCGACCCCTCGTCAAGTTCTGGGCAGGCCCTCCCGGCACAGCAGAGCCTCACCCTTTGCCGGCCCAGCTCACTCCCCTCTCTCTGCTTGACCTGACTCGCTCTCGCCTTTGCTCGCCAGGCCTCCTCTTCAATGACATCTACTGCGCCTCCAAGTTCGCTGTGGAGGGTTTCTGTGAGAGCTTGGCCCTGCAGGCACTGAAGTTTGGTGTGAAGTAAGTCTGGGGGGGCAGGGCTGTGTAGGGGAGATGAGCCCCAGTGCTACAGGGGGGCAGTGGACATTCCCAGCCGTCCCCCCCGTCCGAAGCTCAGAGGGGTTGCAGGCAGGTGGCTGCAGGGAGCGGACGGGAGGTGCCTGGTCGCTCCATTGATCCATTAGGCCGACTGGGCAGCCCCCACCAGGGCTGACTTTGCTGGTGCTCAGAAAAGGGGGATGGACCCACCAAGGTTGTGAGGGGTGGGGTCCAGAAGGCCTCTCCCTCCCCTCTGCCCCATGGGCATCCTAGCACTGTTGGCTTAGTGCAGCGGTCACCAACCGGTCAATCGCAATCTCCGGTGGCACAGTGGGGCTGCTGCTAAGACAGGCTCCCTGCCTGCCCTGGCCCCACGCTGCTCCCGGAAGCGGCCCCGGGGGCGGGGGTCTCCCTCCGCGCGCTGCTCCTGCCTGCAAGCATCGCCCCCGCAGCTCCCGTTGGCTGGGAACGGGGAGCCGCGGCCAGTGGGAGCTGCGGGGCTGATGCTTGCAGAGGGGGGCAGTGCGTAGCCATGTGCCTTCCACGCTCCCCCTCCCCGGGGCCACAGGAGTGCTTTGGCCCCTTCTGGGAGCAGCTGCACCGCCGACCAGAAGCCGCCAGAGGTAAGTGCTTCTGGAGCCAGCACCCCGAACCCCCTCCTGCACCCTGAATTCCCTCCTGCCCCCTAAGCCCCAGACCTCAGCCCCCTACTGGAGCCAGTACCCCGAACCAGCCATGAACCCTAGCCCTGACCCCCGCTCCCAGAGCCTGCACCCCAACACTCTGCCCAAGCCCTGACCCCCCCCCCCGAATCCCAACACTCTGCCCCAGCCTGGAGCCCCCTCCTGCACCCCTAGGCTCAGCCCAGAGCCCGCTCCCACACTGCGAACCCCTCGGCTCCAGCCCAGAACCCGCACCCCCTCCCAAACCCCTACCCCAGCCTGGTGAAAGTGAGTGAGGGTGGAGGAGAGCAAGTGATGGGGAGGGGGGAGTGGGGGGGGGCTTTGGGGAAGGGGCGGGGCCTTGTGGGAGGGGCGGGGTAGATCCTGGGTTGCCCTTAAATTCAAAAAGTGATCTTGGACATAAAAAGGTTGGAGACCACTGGCTTAGTGCATCATGTGTGCACGGAAGGGGAGGTATCGACTGCAGTGCTGGGATCTTAGGCTGGGTGCACCAGGAATAAGGATATTGGATTATATGGCCCAGCCATCTGAGATGGCAATGCCGGGAGGTGGGACTCCAGAGTTGGTGGGAGGAAGGGATGGAGGTAAGCGGGTGGCGGGAGGCAGGGAGCAGTGGGTGAGTATAGAGGGGAAGGTGGGAGGGTGGAGGATGGATGGTTGGATGGAGCAGTGGGTGGGTAGAGGGAGAAAGGGATGGATGGAGCAGTGGGTGGGTAAAGGGAGGAAGGAGGGATGGATGGAGCAGTGGGTGGGTAGAGGGAGGAAGGAGGGATGGATGGAGCAGTGGGTGGAGGATGGATGGTTGGGTGGAGCAGTGGGTGGGTAGAGGGAGGAAGGGCTGGAAGGAGGGAGGGGTGGGTGGTCTGATATGGGAAGGGCAGCAGGTGGGGTGCTGGACTAGAGGGCCCACTGGCCTAAGGAGGTGCTGCACCAACCTGTACAACCCAGTGCTCTGCCCCTGCATGCCAGCTCCTATCTGCGTGTGCCCTAACGGGCCCGGAGCCAGGCCCTGGCTGGGTACATGAGCTGTGATGTGTTACTGTCTCCTGCTCCTCCCCAGCATCAGCCTGATCGAACCCGGGCCGGTGGTGACCGAGTTCGAAAGGAAACTCTACGAAGAAGCCGCCTGCATGGACCTGTCCGCCGTTGACCAGGAGACACTGGACATATTCCAAGGCTTCTACATGGCCTATTCCAAGGAAGTCTTCACAGTGCTGGGGCAGTCGCCAGACGAGGTGGCTGAGGTAGGGAGCCATCTCCCCACCCTCCCACGCTGACCCGCTACCCCCTTCCTAGCCCTATAGTACTCGGCTGTAACCACACTGGCACTGGGGACCCAGGGAGGACAGGTGGGGAGTTAGATCCTAGGGGCCTGCTTGCCAGAGGTTCTCAGCACCCCCAAATCTAGTGGTGGCACCGGGAACAGCCGGGGCCGTCAGATCAGCTCTGGGCTAAACCTTCAGTTGCTACTCAGCCTCTGTCCCAGCCATCTGCCACGTGGGGTGGGGTGGGGTGTGAGTCTGTGTAAGGGCAGGGCGACCAGTGGTGAAGCAAGTATGTTACTGCTCAGCCCTTTGAGATCAATAGATAAAAAGCATTTTTGTTGAGCTCGGCACAGCTATCCCTGTTTTACAGAGGGGGGAAACTGAGGCATGGAAAAGGGAAGGGACTTGCAGAGCTGGGATTGAACCCAGGAGTCCTGGCTCCCAGCCCCCCCTGCTCTAACCACCAGGCCCCACTCCCCTCCCAGAGCCAGGGATAGAACCCAGGAGTGCTGACTCACAGCCTCCCCTGCTCTAACCATCAGGCCCCACTCTCCTCCCCAAGCTGGGAACAGAACCCAGGAGTCCTGGCTCCCAGCCCCCCCACTCTAATCACCTAGGCAGTACCATAATACACCGAAGAAATAACATACAGTAGCCAGTGTAGTGGGGCTCGAAGGTGCTACCAAGACCAACGATAAGTGCTAATCAGAGTGGTGCTGATTTACCCCAGATCTGGCCCATTGAGTCCAATGGAGCCATGATTATTTATATTATCGTTGTGCCTGGGAGCCCCAGCCCTGGCCCAGGTCCCCATTGTATTAGGTGTGTTACAGTAGAGCCTAGGGCGCCCCAGCCGTGGCCCAGGACCCCACTGTGTTAGGTGCTGTACGTTATTAGGTGTATTACGGTAGAGCCTAGGGCGCCCCAGCCGTGGCCCAGGACCCCACTGTGTTAGGTGCTGTACGTTATTAGGTGTATTACGGTAGAGCCTAGGGCGCCCCAGCCGTGGCCCAGGACCCCACTGTGTTAGGTGCTGTACGTTATTAGGTGTATTACGGTAGAGCCTAGGGTGCCCCAGCCGTGGCCCAGGACCCCACTGTGTTAGGTGCTGTACAAATACCAGCTGGGGACGTGGCCCATTGACCCCAGTGGAGCTGTGGCTGATTTTCATACCAACTGGGGATCTGCCCCGTGCAGGTTAAGCCCAGGGCGTGTCGGTCGAGCGTCTAACGGGCAGGCCCTTCCTCCGCTCTCCCCAGCATACGGCCAAGGTGATCATGGCAGAGAAGCCGCCTTTTCGCTATCAGACCAACAGCCTCTACACGCCCATGACCACCCTGAAACACGCCGACCCCACCGGGAACCTGCCTCTGAACACCTTCCACCAGATGATCTTCCAGCATGACCGGCTCTTCAAAGCCAGCCTCAGCCTCCTCAAGATGCTGCAGTGGAGGAAGAGGAGGGACGTGTCCTATAACAAGTCTCCTTGAGACGAAGGCACCAGTCCCCTTCCTCCTCCTCCCTGGACAACACAGACAGCTCCAGCTATAGATCCCACCCCGCTCCCATGCTCTGTAGCTTCCAGTGTGGACAGCCACTGTACAAGCACAAACCCTTGGACCGAGGGGGAGGCGTCAGCACGGTGGGTGATGGGGGGAGCCGGGGGGAGGGGCAGGATGTTTAGGAGCATGAATCCAGGAGGGGGCTAGCAACACCCCCCGCTTTGCCCTCTTTTTAGCCAGCTGATTCTTTTGTATCTTTTTTTTTTTTTTAAAGTAAATTTGGGGTGTTAAAAGGATTTAAAAAAAAAAAAAACTTTCAGAAAGTAGAGGAAGGAGGCCTTGCTGGGCCTAGGACCCAGGAGTTCCGGCCCCCACTCCCCTCCCAGGGCTGGGGATAGGACCCAGGAGTCCCATCCCCTTCCCACAGCTGGGGATAGGACCCAGGAGTCCCATCCCAACCTCTTCCCAGAGCTGGGGACAGAACCCAGGCGTTTCCAGAGTCAGGGATTGAACCCAGGAGTCCGGGTGCCTGTCCCAATGCTCTAACCACTAGGCACCACTCCCCTTCCACAGCTGGGGCTAGATCCCTGGATGTATTAAGTTGTCACACACACACCCCCCCCCGCTTGTGAGGGTGGACCCAGCTGTGCTTCCACCGGGGGGGGGGGGTGATAGACATCCTCCACGAGGAGGTAGCCCAGCAGGTGTGTGCCACGGCTTGTATCCCTGGGTGAAGGGAGCCATGGGGCATCAGGCTGTGTCCCCCTGACACTACCGGGGAGGCCTGCAGGAAGATGGCCGGGGTGGCTCATCCAGGGAGGGGATGACTACGGCACTGGCTGGAGTTAGGGGCACCGTGTTTGCCGGCAGGCTGGGAGGGAACTAGCGCAACCAGACTTGGCAGACTCTCAACGAGGGTTCGATGCAGCTCCTGGCCCTGGGTTCAAGTGGGTTGAGTGGCCCGGCTGGGGGCAGCAAAGCAATTTAGCTGGCATCTCTTAGGCACGCCCTGGGGGCCGCAACAGCTCCCAAGAGGGGGTGAGCGTTTAGTCTGCAGCCTCTTCCTCACGGCCCTGCACCCTCCAAAGGCCAGTTTCCTGATCTCCCCCTCTCCTCAATCTCCTGCTGGGGGTGGGCCGCTGCCCCCTGCCCAGCACCTGCAGTAGTGCTGGGAGCACGACTTGTAGGGCGTGCAATGACTCCCCCAGCAGCTGTTCAGGGCCCGGGCAGCCCATCCGATCAACCTGCCGGGGTGCGGGAGTCCCTCAATAAACAGAGGTGCTGGAGCCTGGTGGCTGGGGTCAATTTTTAAGTCGTTGGAAAATGGCAGCTGCCCGGCAGGGGCATGGGAACTCTCACTTCTTAGTCCGCAGAGGGAAGGGCAGAGGCAGGACAGCTGGGGCCCTACAGCTGCCCCATAAGTTATCCCCCCCCATCCATGGTACTTACAGCCCCCATTACAGTAGTAGCTGAGCCCCTCACAACTGCAAGTGTATTTAGTCTCCCCCCCCCCCCCCGCTTGGGGCAGTAGGGGTTAAGTGGCACAGAAGGGCTAAGTGAGGTGCCTATGGTCATGCAGGAAGGCTGTGGCAGAGGCAGGATCAGGGCAGCTGTGCCCAAACCCCTGCAATATCATGGTTGCCTGGAGAAGCCCTCTTGTGCTTGGGGCTCTACCCCCATGAGGAGAGCACGATCCCTGCCCCCAACAGCCACCCTCCACTCCCCGCATTGAACCTGGCTCCTTGCCTGGAGCAACAGCCACGAAGCCAGGAACTCCATCTTAGCCGATGGAATTGACACGGCAAACGTGGAACCTGGTGGAAGCCCCCTGGCCTAGATCAAGGGGAGGGGGCAGAGCTGAGAGCCTGAGCACTAACCCAGCTCCAGGATTGGAGGCCTCAGGGCCGTAACCCGCAATGGGGGCTGTGCTGGGGTGGACGCTGGACGTCCTAGACCGTGCTGATCCTGCAGGGCTACAGGCCCCATGTATAATCAATTGCTTCCATTGCACCCCAGTGGCAGCCTTGTGTTCTCTGGTCCAGCACCACTGCATCCAAACAAGCATCACCTAAGGCAGAGGGGGGGGGGCCACATCCTGCCTGTGGGACCCTCCTGCCCGGCCCCTGAGCTCCTGTCCCAGTATGCTAGCCCCCGGCCCCTCCTCCGCAGCCTCAGCTCACTGCACCACCGGCTTAGTGCTCGGGGCGGGCGGGCTGCGAGCCCTGGTCTGACCTGGTGCTCCGTGCTGCACGGCGAGTGACGGTAGCATCACCAGCCACCGGTGCTCCAGGCAACGCAGTAAGGGGGCAGGGGGGGTCGGATAGAGCGCAGGGGAGTTTGCAGGGTGGTCAGGGCTGGGGGTGTGGATAGCGGTCGGGGCGGTCAGAGGCCAGGGGGGGTAGTCAGGAGGGAGGGGGGGGTTGGAGGGGGCAGCAGGAGGCAAGCAGGTGGGGGATCGGGGGTGGGGCAGTCAGGGAACAGGGCAGGTTGGATGGGGCAGAAGTCCTGGGGGCCCATCAGGGTGAGAAGCGGGGGGTGGGGATGGATAGGGGCTGGGGGCCAAGCCGTGCCTGGCTGTTTGGGGAGGCACAGCCTCCCCTAACCGGCCCTCCATACAATTTTGGAAACCCGATGTGGCCCTCAGGCCAAAACGTTTGCCCGCCCGACCTAAGGCCTGCCCATGTCAGTCAAATAGCTTCCAGCGTTAGCAGGGCAATCTTCTTCCTAGCACAGACGCAACATGCCGCATGCCCAGGATTCTTCACCGAAGTTGATCCGCTGGTTGGATCAGGAGCTGCTCCGGCCGGAGCCGGGTACTGACGGGGAGCGTGACGTGAACGCTGATCCATGCCTCTGCAATAGAGGCAGGGGCTGAGCCTTCAGCCCTCATGCCCCCGCAGGCCCCAGGGCTGATGGATCAGGATCAGGTCCTTCCGCCCTAGAGCCCAGCTCAGAACTGGATACCACGTGCGTTGGGATGAACACTGCTTTAGGATCAAGTCATGACACTTCGCACCGGGCAGGCCCCCACCGTCACGCGCGCCATGCTCGAAAAGCCTCAATCTTAGAGCAGCTGTTTTACCCAAATGAATAAGCCAGAGCCAAGATACGGAAACGGCCATTTATACACCAGCATGGAATGCAGGGCTTTGCCCTCTATACACAGAGCCCACTCCCCTAAGACAAAGCCAGAGACCTCCCGCGCCAGGCTGTGCAGAAAGTTACAATTAAGCCAAGGAACTCCTTACCACGTGGGCATATTGACCCAACCCTGCTGAGACAATGGGGATCCACCCAGGGGTTAGGAGTGTGATAATCACAGTTCCCAGAAATAATGAGGAATTTAAATCGGGGGGGGGGGGAGGAGAGGTGTTGAGCCCGCACTTACAAGGGCATCACAGCCAAGGGCAGAGTTATTCGGTAGAGAACAGAGGCAGCCAGAGAGAGGGCGGTGGCACCCTGGCAGTAGGATCTCCCTTGTGGGGAGGCCCCCTCCCCCCCCCATTGCAGCCACCGAGCAGGTTGCATAAATGCAGACAGAGCCTGCGTTGAGGATCAGGACGCTGGCTGTTCTACCCTGGCCTGAACTCCAGTAGTGTCACAAGCAGGGGCCGGGTCCCAAACTCCTCCGTGGCCTCACACTGTTAGCTCCTGCTCCTGCCTTTGGCCTGGTGCACAGCAGCTAAGGGCCTGCTGTTTCAGGGGTGCTGGGCCAATCCCAGCAGGGGTACAGGCCTTGTGCATGAGCGGGTCCCACCTACTCTGTGTCTGGGGATAAAGAGGTTTGTTCCACGGGAGGAGGAGGTTGGTTGCCCCAGCTCACAGGGGCAGGCTGGGAGCTAAATGAAGCTGGGTTCTCCCCTGCTCATTCCCTTTAAGGGTGGAACCCCCGTTTCCACCTAGCTGCACAGGTAACCAAGGGCAGGATCTAGCGCTGGGGTCTGAGCAGGAAGGAAGCCAGCTCCAATCTCAGCTCCCGGGGAGACGGGCAGAGCAGACAGATGCGGCAGGCGAGCACGCTGGAGTCACAGAGAGGCGACCAAGACGCAAGCCCTGCAGGCCCAGCTGGTGCGAGAATCACACCTGAACCTACCACCCGACAGGATCTAGCAAGAAGCCAGGAGCAGCATGCCCCTGAAAACCTGCTTCTCCCAGGAAGGAGGGACCACCAATGCTCGAGTGAAAACCATGGCCCACAGCTAACCGGGTACCACACGGAGATCCCGACGAGCGTAAGCCAAGCGTCACTGCTCAGTTGTTGTCTAGATCCTGGCCTATTGCTCAGCATCACCAGCATGCAGTGGGGCTGGGGAGCTCTTGGCCTCAGCTGAAGATAGCCACTACTTCTCCTCCGCCCTGGAACCATCTATCGCCTCACCCCAGTGGTACAGGACCTCTTTGACCCCAGCCAGATGTTGGTGCTTAAGGCCAGCTCCACCTTTGCTGCTTGGCCCCAGCTAGTCAATGGAGTGAAGGAGAAGGGGGTGGGAGAGCTGGTGAGGGTGGGGGCTGCTGGTGGAGGATGCATCTAAGCCAGCAGCAGGGATGCACGGATCAGGAAGCGGGTCTGGAAACCGCTCTTGCAGGAGAAGAGCAGAGCTTGGCCAAAGTCCCCCCCCCAGCCCCGTACAAGAGACAGCAGCCCCCAGCCATCCAGAGTTCGTCTGATCTTCTTGCAGTCTGGAGAACAGGCCTGGTTCTGGGAACAGCGGCTGGAATTGCACGGGACCATGCAGTTCTCAGCACTGCCACAAGGTGGGGCAGGGGAGCAGAGAGGCAGGAATTCAACACAAACCCCCAGATTTCTCTGTCCCGCTTGGGAGTCTTCGGCCAGGCCACAGGGTGGGACCCGGCGGCCTCCCCAGGGTCCGAGCGCTAGCAACAGTCTGCGTGGATAGGCCTCACACTGCCTCACGGGCAACCCTGCTCTTCTTCAGCTTGGAGAGACCCTCATGGACGCCGGCTTCTGTGACCCTGCAGAGAGAAAGCGAGACAGACGACCCCAGACTCAGATGGGATGGATCAGATCTGGGTGCTTCCTCTACAGCCCTAGCAAGGGTCCTGCAGCTCCTGGAACTGCAGGGATAAGTTCCCTCCCTTATGGAAAGCAGTAACACCCGCTACACCTAACACCTGGAACTTCCCCGGACAAGCAACAGAGGGTGCTGTGGAGCAGGAGCAAGAGGACTCAGACTTGAAGGTCAGACGGGACCCTCGAGATCTAGTCCAGTGGTTTTCAAAGTTTGGGTTGCGGAATGCAAGGCACTGGGTCACCTTGCTCAGCTCCCAGGGACCCTGGCAGCCGGCCAGTAAAAGCCAGTAGTCCCTACCTGTTCTGACACCACGCTGCGCCCCAGAAGCGGCCAGCAGCAGGTCCGGCTTGTAGGGAGGGGGACCACAGGGCTCCGTGCGCTGTCCCTGCCCCAAGCACCGGCTCCGCACTCCCATTGGCCGGGAACGGACCCATTGGCCAGTTCCCGGCCAATGGGAGTATGGGGGGGTGGTGCCTGTCGGCGAGAGCCATGCAGCGCCACTTGCGTACCTCCGCCTAGGAGCCGGACCTGCTGGCCACTTCTGGGGTGCAGCACGGGAAGCCTGCCTCTGCACCCAAGCTGTGCCACGGACTGGGAGCCACCGGAAGTAAGCCCATGCCCCAATCCCCTGCCCCAGCCCTGAGCCTCCCACGAAACCCGGAGCCCCTTTGGCACCCCAAACCCTTCATCCCCAGCCCCGCACCAGAGCCTGCCCCCACAGCCCTGACCCTCTCCTGCACCCCAACTCCCTGCCCCAGCCCAGAGCCCCCTCCCACACCCTGAACACCTCATTCCCAGCTCTGTTGCGTCACGGGCAACAACAATTTTCTTCAAATGGGTTGCCAGAAAAAGAGTTGAAAACCACTGATCCAGTCTGACCTCCACCAGTGAGCTTGGAAAGATTTGATTTTTACTGGTAAATGTGGAAGGTGGATCTCACCCAACATCCACACACACACACAAATATTTCCATTGATAACTGAGAGGCAAAGTAAGAAAAATGCAACTTGAGACCTCAGTGTTTGATCGAAGGCTATTTACTTGGTACATTTTGCCATGGAACACTGCCAATTGGTGTTTAAAACTTTAACGGACAATTTCAATGGCCACTGTCATTAGCTAATTATTGTCTGCCCCCTATCCGGATCCTCTTCTAGTTTCCTTGTGAAAATTGAAAAATGATAAAAATGAGGGGGGGAATATTTTAAAATAAATATTGATATTATCCATCAAAATGATAAAAAACCATAAACACCGAATTCTGCCAAGCCTACTCATCAGGTTCACACACAGGTGGGAAACTGAATGAGCATAACTCAGGCCCAAATAGCTATTCCATGTATGCAAACTGGGTGTGGCCCTGTTGGTCCCAGGATGTTAGAGAGACAAGATGGGTGAGTTTCCCTGCTCACAGTCTACACCAGCCCCAGTAGCACTGGGAATGAGCCCGACTTCCCCACCCCACCCAGAGATCCAGCTGCTTACACCTGATTCATCTGCAGTTCCTCCCCCTCTTCCTCGTCCTCTTGGGGCAGCTGTAGATAAGGGTTGTTCGAAGCCGGGCGGAACTTGTATCCCGTTAGGATGAAGAAAACCAAGGTGGATACTTCGACCAGGAGCTGCAAGGAAGGAAAGAAGGGTCCTTAGGCCTAGCGATTGGAGTCCAAGATCAGTGCAGCTGCTGTTGATGCAGCTGGCTCTGGGGTGGGACACAACAGCACACAGCAACAGTTTAGGACGGTAAGGGAAGAATCACACAATGAGTGATAGGGAAAAAACAACAACGAGGCCTGAATGTGTATTGCCCACCCTGGAATTTGGGAAGGAAACTGACCTGGGAAAGGGGGGCTGTTGAAACGTCTGCAGCTATCTCAGACCCTTGGATTTACATGAAATCTGAGCGAGTGCAGCATAGCGCCCCCTAGCACCAGCCGGCTGCAGTAGCCAGTGGGAAGAGTGCTGCAGCTCACAGCATCTCCCGAAGCAGCTGGGCTCTCCTTGGTGGTCTCCTAGCCAACTACTGGCCCAGCAGACGTCTACTTAGCACCAGCTCACAGTCCCAGCTGGGTGGGTTGCAGGGTAAGCAAAGGCTGGGGACCAGTCAGAGGCACCTGCATTGCAGATCCCCAGTCGCCGCTTTCAGTCCAGAGGCAAGAAAACTCGGCCTATAATACACGTCTTTACAATACAGCACCTCACCAATGGATCTCAAAGCACTTCGCCACCACTCACATCCAGAGCCCAGCTGGGAGGGCGGGAGATGTCCCCCGTCTTGCCAATAAGGATCTTAGAATGGATCAGTGACACTGCTAGGAATAGAACCCAGGAATCCTGCCTCCCACCCCACCCCCCCTCCTCAGCCTCACCTCATAGAGCCACTGCCACTGGAAGGGGACGGTGAATTTGAGCAGGATGGCAATGACGCGGGAGAAGTAAATGTAACACACGACCTGGAAGAGGGGGAGAGAGAGAGCGACTGAGGCCACGGCAGGGTCCCGGTCCCGTCATGCACACAGTGCTCATGCTGCCAGTGTCCCTGAGAGAGGAGCCAGGGCTGTGGGCACCTACCATGACGTAGTAATGTCTGAAAAGCTTCAGTTTCGCCAGGTTTGTGGCAGCTGGAAATAAAACAAGGGGAGTTTGTCAAACGGCACTGGAAGCAGGTTCCACATCGGGGGGACGGAGGGACGGAGGGGGACAGAGTCCCCCCCCAGAGCGAGGGGGTGGAGGGAGCAGCTGGGTTTCTCCGGAGGAAGCCGAGATGGACTCACCTTTGCCATCTGTGCTGGAGGCCTCCTGGAGGTGGCGGATGGACCTGTGGATGGACCAACAGATGCTCAGCGGTTCCCGCCCTCGGCTCTGGAGTTGCCTTTCCCAGGGGCAACTCCACCGGCCTGGAGCAGACGAGCCTGCTGGGCCCATGGCTCACAGGGGCAGGATGCAGAGATCACCTCCGTGGGGACGTGGCCAAGCCAAAGCAATGACTCCCATGGGATTGTGGGAAGATTTGCACCCTTCACCCCACCCCATGAAGCCTTCAATGGTCCCCCAGCTCTGTGTCGGGCACCCAGGTTAGTGCACAAAGCCGGGATGCCCCTCTGCACCGGACACTTCCCATGGGGACGTATGGGGGGTGGAGAGTGATTGGCACCACCATGACCCCAGAGAGACGGACATGACAATACCTCCCATGACAGTCCCCCATAGCACCGTGGGGTCAGCACTGACTCCAAGGGGAGATCACCCCCTACTAACCCCCTCATCCTGCAGTACAGCAGCATCAGGGTCACAGCTGACTTGGGAGAGAGCCCCCTACAGACCTCCCACCCTGCAGTTTTCCTCCATTTCCCATCCAAGCATTGACCCAGCTTAGCTTGCGAGACCTGGCAGGTTCCCAACCCAAGGCAGTAGCCCTGCTGAGATGGGCTCCGGGGCAGAACCCCCCCCCCCCGGCTCTTACCACACCACGGGGAAGAGGATGGCCCCGCAGCAGAGCAGGTCCACCAGGAAGAGGATCTGCTTCCAGGAGGCGTAGTCACTGCTGCCCTCCTCCGAGGACTCGATGATAATGTAAGCGACGTTTGCCAGCACCTGCGCAATGGGAAAGGCGGGTGGTGAAGGGACTTCGCAGCCCCAGACGGGCATCCTGCAGGCGGGCACTAGCCGTCGCTGCCCAAACACCTGCCACCCCAGCATGGGCCCTGTATCTTCCCCCCGCTTGCCAAAACGCCAGGGCAGAGCAGGGTGCTACCACCTGGCTCTTATTTAGCCCTTTTCATCTGAAGATCTCCAAGCGCTTCCACAAGGAAGGGCAGTACCATCATCCCTATCTCGCACATGGGGAAACTGAGGCACAAAGGGGGGGTGGGGAGGCAACTTGGCTGAAGTCACCCAGCTGACAAGGGGCAGAGCGGGGAGCAGACCCCACGTCCCCCAAGGTCCAGCCCAGGGCTCTGTCCATGAGCCAACGGGGCTTCACCGAGGGAATCGCTTCCCCAAATCGTTCGCTTTCAGCACCGGGAGTCCAAAATGAGCCCGGACAGATCCGGCTATGGTGTCCCTAGGAGGTGGAGAGAGGGCACCTCAGGGTGGACGTAAGCGACCCCACCCCGACTCCAGCCCCATGTCCCCACCCAGCACAGCTCTGGCTTTTAAGGCGGAATGGCGAGGAGGCAGCCGCCCACAGAAGTGGCAGCTCCCCCCCCCCAGCCGTCGCGCCCCTCACCTGCAAGGGGATGACGATCACAAAGAGCTTCTTCTCTTTGTCCGACAGGATGTACTTGATGAAGGCCCAGCCTGTCCCAATCAGCGCGATGGTGATGAAGAGCAGGGCGCCCTTCAGCCTGCAAGGGACCCAGAGGCAACTCAGGCGGGCGCCCTGTTCTGGGAGGCAGGGCGGGCCCAGGGCGAGCCACAGAGGGGCTGTGGGACTGAAGAAACCGGGACACGCCCCCCTCCCCCGCGCAACTGCCCCTGCTCCTCACAGCGCCCCCTGCTGGAAGAGGCTGGAACTGCAGTATCCAGGAGCTTCCCCCACAGGCAGCGCTCCTGCCCTGCTCTATACAGCGCCCCCTACTGGGAGAGGCTGGGATTGGAGTGGCTAAAAGCTCCGCCCACAGCCAGCCCTCCTACACCATCCCCTGCAATTATCAGCTCCACGCAGTCAGTGTCCTACGACACCCTCCAGGGCCCCTCATGCTGGGCAGACTGTGGTAGCGAGACCTCCCCAGCAACCCTCCCAGTGGTGGCAAGCACCACCCCCAGCCAGTGCCCCCTGGTGGGAGAAACTGGGACTACAATACTTGCAAGCTCCCCCATTATCCAGTGGCTCCCCCAGGGCCCCCACCCCTGGAGCCAGCCGTGATGCTGGGCTATCGATGTCCCCTCTGCGTAGGCCCCGTAACCGGACGCTCTGAACTTACAGGTGGGTCACGAAGTACATGACGGCTAAGCTCTCGATCGGGTGACCCTCGGTGTTAATGAAATAGTAGTTGATCTGAGAGAGAGGACAGAGAACGGGGTCTCAGTTGGAGCCTCCCGATTCAGGCTAGACAGGCTGGGAGAGCGCCCACCACAGCCACCCAAAGGCCATCTGCTTGTTAGGGAGCTGGTGGCAAAGCTGAGGGGACTCAGAGCCATTCACCTCCGTGTCCCGGCCGGGTAACAGCCATCGCGAGACAGCTGTCGGGCAGCCAGTGCACAAGAGGAGTCCAACGGGTCTCAGCCCCGCATGCCAGAGAGACACCATTGTCTTCTTGGGGATAGACCAGCCCTTCCCCGAGAAGGGTCAGAGATTCTTAGCAGGGGTGACACAGGCTTAGAGGGAGGGAGGGGGACACTGTCCCGGCCAGCGCGCTGAGAGCAGAGAGGACCCTGGGACCAGGCAGGCCATCATGTTCAGTTTGCCCCGAAGCTTTTTGAGGGGTGCTGGATTCAGGCTAACACCTTACAGGCTAGCGTCTTCCTCTACCCAATCCCCTGAGCCAGCAGGCCCTGGGCACATGTCACCTCTTAGATAGAGACACCCCAACTAGGCTGAGGCCGAGGCTCATGGGGGTCAGCGGGAGCCCGACTGCAGTGAACCCAGGTATGGCTGCTGTCCAATAACACCAGGCTCTACCGGCTTTCTGTGGTGTCCCATACCTAGCACAATGGGGTCGTGGTCCATGACTGGGGTTCGTAAGAGCAACCATACTACAAACACCTAGCTCACAGATTGCTTTTCATCTATGGGTCTCAAAGCACTTTACAAAGGAGGGTTGGCAGCATCATTCCTATTTCATAGATGGGGAAACTGAGGCACAGAGGAGCAGCTTGCCTGAAATCAGCCAGCAGGCCAATGGCTCGCGCCCAGGTCTCTCAAGCCCTTTGTCCCTGGGCCCACCTGCATTGGCGTAGCTGTCTACTTACACTGTGAAAGAGGAGAGAAAGGGCCTTGGTATACGCTAAGGCGGCCATAAGCCAGTGGATTTTGAACACGCTGAACCTGCAGGTAGAGAGACACAATCAGGTGGGTGCCCATGGCGGCTCCGTGGCAGGGCAGGGTGGGGTACAACAGAGAGGAAGGCTGCCTGCCCGGGGAAAGCAGTGTGGACACAGTCGACCAGAGGGGCGGGGCTCACTTGTGCTGGCAGAGGAAGTAGACCCACACGGTGGCCGCGGCCAGGAAGCAGGCGGACATGACCAGGTAGAGTTTGATGAGGGGGATCTCGGCAGCCGACAGGTATCCGTCCGGGTTCTTCTCTCGGATCATCACCTGCAAAGCAGAGACGGAGTCGGTGCAGAGTGGGAGCTATGGCTGGGGGAGATGCCACCGCCAGGAGGTCTGATCCAGGGTGGCAGTGGGAGCACCAGGCGAGAGGGGCCCCTTGCTTTGGTCTGGAGTGGTGGGGGAAACCACTCTGGAGTGGTGGGGGGAAACCCAGTGATGGACTACTGATCTGATCCAACATGCAGGGGGAGATACCAGACCAGAGGGGCTAGCTGGTCTGATCTCCCATAGCAGGGGCGCAACGGGAGGCTAGATGGGACTGGGAGCAACAAACACAGACCAAGGATGTATGACAAACCCCGCCGCGTGCTGTGGCTTTGGAAATGCGTGGCGTGCCCGCAGTTTGCTCTAGACTTGCCGTGCCTGGCGGATAAAGCCCTGAATTGGAACACTGAAGACCTGGGTTCAAATCCCAGGCACTTGTACTCCACAGCCCAGTAAGGACCCCTCATGGCCCATTCATCCTGTTGATGGCAGCAGGACAAGCGTTTGGGGCTCAGTGTAGGGAATCTGAGCAGCCTGGGCTTCTACTTAGGTGGTCAGGTCTTTGGGGCAGGGACTGGCTTTGCGTTCTGTGTCTGTACATTGCCGAGCACAGGAGGGTCCTGGGCCGGGACTGGGGCTCCTAGCCACTACAGCAATACAAATATCTAGCTCATATAGCACTTTCTAGCCACAGATCTCAAAGCACTTCGCAGAGGTCAGTGTCATTATCCCCATTTTAGAGATGGGGAAACTGAGGCACGGGGGGGGGGGGAGTGGCTCACTCAGGGAATAGGACCCAGGTCTCCTGAGTCCCAGTCCCAGAGCTTTACTCTGCTTTCTAATCCGCCCGGAGGCAGAGAGGGGAAGTCTGTAGCAGAGGATCAGAACTCGAGTGCCTCCACGGAGGGGGGGGGCAGGGGCTACCATCCCCCGAATGCACACTCACGGTGATGTCGTAAGGCATCTGGTTTGCCGGGGCTCTGTTGTGGCAGTTGTGAAAGTTAAGGTTGTACAGACCTTCCGCCTCCGAGCCGATCACTACGTGGAACTGCAAAGACAGAGGGGGAGAGACCCGAGTTACCGGTCAGGGCTCTGATCGGAAGTATCCAGCCTGACTCGTTGCAGGAGACAGGCCGAGGATCCCCCCTGCTCAGTGGAGTTCCCATTACAGACACGTCAAGACTCCAGGGGCTCTGCCCCTCCCTCCCTGGGCTGCAGCCCGTTCTGGCCCAGGAAGGGCGGGGAGCAAGTCAACCCAGCAGCAGTTCTAAGGAGCAGTGTGCAGCCCTCACTGGCCAGGACAGGCCTTGTAGCGAGACAGCTGGGTCCAGCCCCATTCAGCAATGATCAGGGATACCAGACTAGACTGACCAAAGGGGTTCATCCCACACAGCAGGAGGTGGGATGCCATTGGACCAGGCCACTTATTTGATCTGATGTGTCAGGGAGGAGAGGGGAACAGGCTACAGGGAAGCAGATACCAGGATAGTTGGGCCAGGCTGACCTGCCTTGGAAGTGAGGGTGGGGAGATGCCAGGCCGGATGGGCCCACAGGTCTGAGCTTGGGGGTGGGGGGGAAAAACACAGGGGAAGAACACAAGTTGTTGGCTTGTTCCAGGAGGGCCCTTCCTCCATCCAGCCAGGCGACACTTACGCTGAAGTTGTAGGAGTCGTTCACGTTCCCTAGAGCCAGGACCAGATCTTCCACTCTGTGGCTGGAATCCTGCTGCACAAGAAAGGCCAGTAAGGAGCAACGTGCACAGAGCTGGAGAGTCCCCTGCCGCCCGTGGGAGAGGAGGAAAGAGTGGGGCTTACTCTGCCTAGGGATCGCCTGGAGCCTGGCTTACCACCACGCCGGCGGCTCAGCCGTGCTACAGTTCCCAGCTGCTGGTCCGTGGGCGAGGGCTGCTTGTCATACCGCTGCAAGCAACGACCAGGACTCTATCGCTCCCCGCTTCCCATCCAGCCCGATTCCCCAAAGCCTGCCCCTCTCCCCAGCCTCTCTGTCCCACAACGGGCAGTTGGCACCCTGGGCTCTGCTGAGAGAATGGCGCTGGAATCGGGAGGCAGCAGGTGCCAGCAGAAGTCTGGTGACCTGGCACAACTGCCTGGGAACCTCCCTAGGCTCAGTCTCTGAAGGGCATGTACCTGCTTGGCTTCGCCCTCTGTCTTCTTCTGGGGGCTTCCCGCATTGGGCCCTTTACCAGGCACTTCCTGCTGTGTTTCTGTGCCTGGAAGAACGAACACGCCCCTTTGTCAAGAACTAGATGGCGTTAACGCCAGCTCCTGCTGGCGTGGCTCAGGCTGGGAGCCACTCCTGCCCCCCACCTCCTCTCAGGCCCTTGCATCAGCTGCTCCCCAAAAAGCCACCCTGCACCAGGCAGACTCCTTGCTGGCTTGCCCCATTTGCTGTGCAGCTGTTCAATCCCACAAGCTCAGCAGAGTCAGGATGGGTTACTACGCGGAGGAGAGACCTCCAACGAACAAGCGGATGGCACACTCCCTTCCAAGCCAGCGCCAGACAGGAGGGATCGGCTGTGGTTACGGCACTGCACCGTGACGGAGGAGATCTGGGTTCAATCGCTGGCTCTGCACAACCTTGGGCAAGTCACTCCAGCTCTGTGCCTCAGTTTCCCCATCTATACCCTGGGGAAAAGCCTTCCCATGTCTGTTTAGACGGAGCTCTCCAAGACAGGGACCGTCTCTTACTATGTGTCTATGCAGCACCCAACACAATAGGGCCTCAATCGCAGCTGTGGCTGGGACAGGACTAATATGATTATACAGTACATACTATGGGATACTTGACATTAACTCCAGCCGTCCGTTGGGCCAACTCCGACAACGATGACCTGCCTCCTTGGCATTAGCTGCCGTAGTAGCCTCAACTTCCTATCCTAAACACAAGTACTAGTGCTGGGTGTCTATTACATAGCTGCCACATTCCACCCCAAAGATGGCTGCATTTCAAGCACTGGGGTCCCGCTACATCTGTAATCTGGCCATGTTCCCCCAAGTGCTTTGAGATCCTTGGAACAAAGGTACCCCCGAAGCACACAGAGTTACATATTGAGTGCATGGGGCAATGCTAGCGGGATCAGATGCACCTGCCATGTTAAGCAATTAACTGCAGCGCTCTCATTAGGGAGAAAACTAGCCCCTTCTTGAGCAGCATGGAGAAGGCTGCTTCACGCCGAGCAAGCAGGAGACAGCAAGACCTGGGTGTCTAGGCCGCCTCCAATCTCCCTCACCTTTACTGGCAGCAGCCTGGGCCTTGCTATCGTTGGCTGGTTTCGGATCTGAGCCCCCATTCTGCACCTCGGGGATCAGACCGGAATAAATCTGCAGCTTCTTCTGCTCTCCCAGCTTCCGCACTTGGACCCTGAAAGGACAGAACCAAGCGTCAGTACAGGGGGCGTGACACAATGGAGATGGGTTCACCCCCCCAGAGTCGGAAGGGACGTGGAGAGAGGGGGCGGGATCAGTAATGCAAAGGGTCGCTCTCCCAACACACCCTACTAAAGGATGCCTCCTGTTTCAGGTCACTGGGAGCCAGGACACCTGGGTTCTGTTCCTAGCACTGGGAGAGGGACGTGGGGTCTAGTGTGGTTATAACTGGGAGCTAGGACTCCTGGGTTCTACTCCCAGCTGGGAGGGTCTAGTGCTCAGAGTAAAAGTAGCAGTTTAATTTTTCTGCTGCCTTTTCCATTTCACTGTGTAACCTCCTGTAACAAGAGGATACGTAGGAGCACCTGACTGATCTTCTGTCTACCATTCACTCATTAATTTATACACCACCATCACATCTCCTTATTTATTCCCTGTCTAATCCTAGTCCTCTTTCACACACCACCTGATATCAGGGGTGGTTGCAGGCAGCGATGGTGACATGAGCTGTCTGCATATTTGCTAGGGGCTGCTCTGATCCCTGGACCCGGAAGAGTCTAGGAACTAGGCTAACTTGCCGTTAACGGCTCCAGTCGATTTAGCGGGAGGCCGGATGAGGAATCCAATGAAATATACATAAGCGCAGACAGAATTTCACTTGCCTTTTCTGGTTGACGTCGATGAGGAAGAGGATTCGTGACTCCGCTCCATTTTGTTCCAAGGTGCAGTTATGAGATTCCTTCCCCTGCAGAGAGGAAAACTGCCCCGCATCAGATCAGACAAAAAAAAAAAAAACATGTACAAGCTAACTAATTACCACCATCTGGATTTACAGTAGGCCCCAAATCAGGGCCCTGCTGTGTAAGATGCTGTACGTAGTAAGAGACAGTCCCTGCCTCAGAGTGTTTACAATCTAAATAGCCAAAAGACAGGGAGGGAGGGAGGGGATGTGACACTCAACAGGTCAGTGGCACAGCTGGGAATAGAACTGAGGTCCTATCAACTTCCAGTCCAGAGCTCTACCCACTAGACCCTGCTGCCTCTCCAAGGGACTGATTCACATTCACTTCCCCTACAGCCAGTCTTTCCAGTGGCTCCCAGAGGTAACTGATGGCAGATTCCGGACATTCCCCCTTCCGGATTCCTTTGCAACAGCCTAGCCCTGGAGAACCCATCTGGGTTCCATGCGGTGAAGCCAGCTACCGCTGCTCAGGGGATCAGCCAGAAGGGGTCACTCAAGAACAACACATCACCCATTGAGCAGGACTCCCCCTCCAGAAACACCAGCGTTTCCCAAACAAACTCAGAAGAGTCTGCATGCACACACAGAGAATGGCAACTCACTGGGTAGGAAAGGGCCTCGCGAATCCTCGTCCTGGACAAGCTGAAGCCGACCTGGAAAGAGAAAGGATTCATCTGTTATAACCAAGCCCTTCTCTGCATTAGCAAGGGGCAAATCCCTAAGCCTTTCGCAGATGGGGAAGGCTCGGGTGGGGCAGGGCACAGAAACTCTGCCAAGAGGCAGCCAGCCATGATGTCTCCCATACAGGGCATCAAGATGCCCCATGATACACAGTTACGGCCCTCCAGACCAGCTCACTGATCAACTCCAGGAGGCCCGAAGGTATCCGGCTACTTGGATTTCTTACCAGATGGACTGAGTGTTGGGGGAAGTCCATAAGTTACTTGACCATCCTCAAAAAATGTGTTCAGACCCACCCACCCCTTGGAACACTGAAACCCGCCAAATTAAGGACCCACCCAGCCCCTAATGCATTATGAATTTTATGGACAGCCCTTTGGAGGGGGAGCCCTGCTGGCTGCTTCTAGGGTATGTCTTCACCGCAGTCGCAGAGGTAACTCGGGCTCTTATTCAGGTGGTTGTCTCTATCCCCCCCCATACAAAACACTCCCCCAGCTGGCCTGGCTGAGGGTATAGGCTAGCGCCAGGAATCTGATCCATCTTAGGTACTTAAATGACCTACACACACACACACACAACCCCACAATATTTCATGTATTTAACCTTCCAAGTGCTGTTAACATCTTTTTTTTTTTTTTTTTAAAGTATCTCAATGGGCCTCTATTCTCCATCTAAGTGACTTGCCCAAGGTCACATAGGAAGTTGGTGGCAGAGCACAGAACTGATCTCCCAGTTGTAGGCCAGGGACCTGGGCCATTCTTCCTCTGCCTGATTTGAACCCAGGACAGCAGGTGTCTCAGACCTAAAGTTTAGCTCAACCCAGCCATCTCTGCTCCCAGCGGAGAGAATGCTAGATTCATTGCAGGAGCGCCCCACAGGTGTGAACCGCCCTGGGGCAGCGCCATTCACACCCACACCTGCTGTCCCCTTGGGAATCACGGGCGGGGAGAGGGGGGGTTCGCTTCCTGGCATGCACCATGAACTATTATGTGACTGCAATCCTCCTGGGAAGAGCCGCTGCGCTTACCCATGGCTTCTCCTGCTTGGCGCTGCCAAGGCCAAGATGCAGCCGGCTCACGTTCACCTCCAGGGAGCCATTCGCGTAGAAGCCAAAGGTGTTCAAATGGATGTCAGCCCTCTTCTCGCCCTGAAATAGACGAGGCAGGAAGCCATCACACCACCAAGCCCATTAGACTGGCTTACAACAGCAACAGAACACAAGGCAGGGCTCCACGCCACTCCCAAGGCTCCAGGGGTCAGGGATGGGAAACAAGGGACAGCCCCACGCAGCAGCCTCCAGCCAGAGGGCAGCACCTCAAGGTGCCCTTTAAAGTCACTCTGGTGCAGCCAGCCAGAGAGGTGGGGCCCAGAACGCCTCTTCCACCCTTGGCGAGCTAGATTAATCTCACTGCCAGAGCTGCAGAGGCATCAGAATTGCTTCCCCTTCAGAAGAGGAAGTGACTTCGGAGGCGCAGGGGGGTAGAGGCTGGAGCAGGAGCGAGATTAGAGGGTTTCGGATCCAGATCACGTGTCTGCATCAGCCAAGCGCCATTTCGTCACACGGAGTCACCTGGGATGTGGCAATAGGGTGACCCATAGGGACGGGACTGCACCAAATCTAACCCAGCCCACATACTACAGCGACGGGCTGCTCCCGTAGACACAGCTGCTTAAAGAAGATGAGTTCATTGCTCAGCACCAGACAGGCTCAGAGCGGTACTGAGCCCAGGATCTGAGCCATGTTTTTCTCCCGGAGAAGGGAGTCAGCTGTGATGCCACCTAAATCAAAGCCTGAGAACTGAGCGCTCCTCCCAGCCCGTAGGGAAGCTCACACCTGAATCCATAGCCAGCTCCAATCTCTGTTAAGCAGGCAAAGCAAATCCCAGACGTCAGCACCCCCTCCAAGCGCACACAAACATTAGACCGGAGCTCTGGCCCGTTTGTAATTAAAATAATAGATCTCCTGCCCCAAGGAGATCAGACTGGGATGTGTTAGAGGAGAGGAGGGAGAAGAACAGGTTGGGGGAAATGGGCGGGGGGGGGATAAGGTGTTGGGTGAGTAGAATGGGGGAGGGTGGCCAGGGGTGGGACACAAGGTGAGAGCAGGGCGCTGTCTTCATCCAGCAGAACATGTGGAAACAAAGCAACCCCCCATGTAGCCAACGAGTTCATCTGATCATTTAATTGTGTTATCTAGTGTCCCGGTGTTATTTGCATTTCAGTTGCTAAATAAACGTACTGAAATAAAACAGAAAGCTTGGAAGTCTGGCTGACACCCTTCTCAGCCGCCCATGCCTGAGGGTCCAACCCCCCTGTTCCTCCTCTGGGCTTCCACACCCCGGAAACATTGGGCTGCCCAAACCGCAGCCCATGTATCCATGTGACATTGTCTCAACACCTTGCAAACTCAGATCCGCTCCAGACTCCCCCCAGACCCCATCTGGGGATCCCCCAAACACCAATGACCTTGTCCACATCAGGCCCCCCCCAGTTACCCAGACCCCCACTCCCCCACCACTGCGTTCTCAGAGCATTTCCACCTGGAAGTCCAGGGGCTGCTGCGTGAGGGGTCACCAAGGGAGGAGGTGGTCTGGGAAGTTGGTCAGGGCCAGGCGCCATGGGGAGGAGTGGCGGAGGGGAGAGGGTTTGTGGAAGGGCCGAGGTGGACGATGGGGAAGGTGTAACTGAGACAGGGAGGGGAGAGATGGAGGCTGGGGGGGGATCATGAGGTGCTGGGGAGAAGGTGAGGGAAGTCAGGGAGAGAGGAAGGACTCAGGGAGATTCCCGGGGGTGTTCCCAAGGGTAATTCAAGTCCCAGCAAGCGGGGGGGGGGGGGGGGGGAATCATGCAGGGGAGGCCTCAGAGTGGGGGGAGGGGAGAAGGGAAGCTGGCAGCTCAAAGCCTGAGGGGGGGGGTGTCAGTCCCATGCCAGGTGTGGGTTGTGGGCAGTCCCCAAAGCCAAGGTAGGCCGGTCCCTTCCCAGGATTGGATAGGGTTGGTCAAGTCCTGAGGGTCAGGAAGTCCCATCCTGGGATTATGATCCCCATCCGAGGGGGGGGTCCAGTCCTGTCCCGTCCCAGGGGAAGGGGTTCCCAGCTCAGGGGCTGGTCTCATCCCGGGTGGGGGGGTGGGACCAATCCGTGGGGGAGGGGGGTGTCAGCCCAGTCCAGTCCCAGGGATTACAGGCCGGTCCTTTCCCAAGGGGTGGGAGAAGACGGTGCCGGTACCTAGGGGGAGGGTCCGGGTCGGTTCAATCCGGGGGGGGGGGTCGGGACGGGTCCGGTCCCCGGCACGGGGGAGGGGGGAGGGTCGGGTCGGGTCTGATCCCTGGGAGGGGGGGGGGTCGGGTCGGGTCTGATCCCTGGGAGGGGGGGGGGAGGGTCCGGTCCGGTCCGGTCTGATCCCTGGGAGGGGGAGGGGGAGGGGGAGGGGAGGGTCCGGTCTGATCCCTGGGAGGGGGAGGGGGGGGGGGAGGGGGAGGGTCCGGTCTGATCCCTGGGAGGGGGTCGGGTCTGATCCCTGTGGGGGGGGAGGGGAGGGGAGGGTCCGGTCTGATCCCTGGGAGGGGGTCGGGTCCGGTCCGGTCCGGTCCGGTCTGATCCCTGGGCGGGGAGGGGGAGGGGGAAGGGGAGGGTCCGGTCCGATCCCTGGGGGGCGAGGAGAGGGGGAGGGAGGGTCCGGTCTGATCCCTGGGAGGGGGTCGGGTCCGGTCCGGTCTGATCCCTGGGAGGGGGAGGGGAGGGGAGGGTCCGGTCTGATCCCTGGGAGGGGGAGGGGGTCGGGTCGGGTCTGATCCCTGGGGGGGGGGGGGGGAGGGTCCGGTCTGATCCCTGGGAGGGGGTCGGGTCCGGTCCGGTCCGGTCTGATCCCTGGGAGGGGGGGGGGGGAGGGGGAGGGTCGGGTCCGGTCTGATCCCTGGGCGGGGAGGGGGAGGGTCGGGTCCGGTCTGATCCCTGGGCGGGGAGGGGGAGGGGGAAGGGGAGGGTCGGGTCTGATCCCTGGGAGGGGGTCGGGTCCGGTCCGGTCTGATCCCTGGGAGGGGGTCGGGTCCGGTCCGGTCCGGTCTGATCCCTGGGCGGGGAGGGGGAGGGGAGGGTCGGGTCTGGTCTGATCCCTGGGGAGGGGGAGGGGAGGGTCCGGTCTGATCCCTGGGAGGGGGTCGGGTCCGGTCCGGTCCGGTCTGATCCCTGGGCGGGGAAGGGGAGGGTCGGGTCCGGTCTGATCCCTGGGAGGGGGTCGGGTCCGGTCCGGTCCGGTCCGGTCTGATCCCTGGGCGGGGAGGGGGAAGGGGGGGTCGGGTCCGGTCCGGTCCGGTCTGATCCCTGGGCGGGGAGGGGGAGGGGGAGGGTCGGGTCTGGTCTGATCCCTGGGGAGGGGAGGGGAGGGTCCGGTCTGATCCCTGGGGAGGGGAGGGGAGGGTTCGGTCTGATCCCTGGGAGGGGGTCGGGTCCGGTCCGGTCGGGTCCGGTCTGATCCCTGGGAGGGGGAGGGAGGGGAGGGTCCGGTCTGATCCCTGGGAGGGGGTCGGGTCCGGTCCGGTCCGGTCCGGTCTGATCCCTGGGAGGGGGAGGGGAGGGGAGGGTCCGGTCTGATCCCTGGGAGGGGGTCGGGTCGGGTCCGGTCCGGTCCGGTCCGGTCTGATCCCTGGGCGGGGAGGGGGAGGGTCGGGTCCGGTCTCCCCCGGCCGCGCTCACCGTCAGCACCAGGCGGTGGATCCGGCCCGCGGCGCCCCCGAGCAGGAGCAGCAGCAGCGGGAGGAGCCGCCCCAGCCCCCGCGAGGCCCCGGGCCCCCGCCGCCTCCGGCCGAACATCCCTGGGCACCGGCTGGCCGCCCCGCCTCGTCCCGTCCCGTCCCGTCCGCTCAGACTCCGCCCCCCGCCTGCCTCCGGGTCCGCCAATCGGCGCGCCGCGACCCCGCCTCGCCGCTAATCATCGCCCAGCTCGTCACTTGCACCCGCCCCCTGCCGGGAAGGTCAACCAATACAAGCGCGACGTCCGTTATCCCCGCCCTCAGGCCTTGAGGCTGACAGGGAAACGCACCAATGGCAGCGTTTCCCATGCTGCCTTGGGCTGGAACTCCATTTCCTATGATGCCTAGCGCTAGAAACTACATTTCCCATCAGCCCGAGGGGGGAAACCCTATATTTCCCATGATGCCTAGCCAGAGAGGGCTTCCCCTTCCTGGAGCTCATTGTCTGGAACTACAATTCCCAGGATGCTCTGGGGCCTTTACCTTGTGGGCCCCTCTGGGGTGGGGTGTGGCAGCAACAGGGGGCAGAGAGGCTGTGGGGCGTGACCCTGTTCTAATGGGGGGCCGGGGCTGGCTTAGATTTGCTGCAGCCTGAGCCCCACCGCTTGGGGCCGAAGCCTCAGCCCCAGCCCGGGGTGGCGGGGCTCCGGTTACAGGCCCCCCCTGCCTGGGGCTGAAGCCCTGGGGATTCTGTTTGAGCCCCCTGCGCCTGCCTGGGGTGGTGGGGCTCAGGCTTTGGCTCCCCCCCACCCCCGCCCTAGGGGTCATGTAGTAATTTTTGTTGTCCGAAGGGGGTCGCAGTGCAATGAAGTTTGAGAACCCCTGAATTCTAAGACAATGGAAAGGGGTGGACCTGGGAGCTAGGACGCCTGGGTTCTAGGTCCAGCTCTGGGATGGATTCGGGTGGTCTAGCAGTTAGAGCTGGGAGCCAGGACCCCTGGGTTCTATCCTGGTTCTAGGAGGAGGTTTGGTCTAGTGGTTAGAGCAGTGGCAAGCTGGGAATCAGGACCCCCGGGTTGTATTCCCATTAGATTTCCCAAGGGAGGGGTGGGGCTTTCTGGTGGGGTTCTGAGGCTCAGTCCAGACATGCCAGTAAAGAACTTTTGAGGCCCTGGGATAGACGCTGCTGGAGCCAGCTGAACTGTGAACATGAATACTTCATCACAACTTGCGAAAATAGCAGGGGCTTTTTCATAACCACAGTTGCTCGGCGCTGCAATTTTATGTCTCAAAGCTGCATCTTCACCACACCCTCCTCACGCCACACTGGAGCCTTGACTTCCAGCTGAGTCATAGGAGAGGGCACCTCCTACTACAGCCCAACACCTCTGCCTAACCCCGTTTAATTATTTCATGATTATTAGGTGTCTTGCAATAGCATTGGGAGGCCCCCAACATTTTGCTGGTGCTGTACAAACATATAACAAGGAGAGAGTCCCTGCTCCAAAGAGCTTACAGACCAAGACAAAAGACAGCAGGTGATAAAATAAACAGCTGTCTAGTGAGGGGAACACAAGGAAACAATAAAATGATACTGATTAGCATGAAAAACAGTGAAAATCTCAAATCTGTAGCCTTACCCCATCAAGCTTTTTATGAGTGTCCCAGCAGAGAAGCATTTTAAGGAAGGCTTGGAAGGAGAAAATGCTTGGAGAATGCTCAAAGATGCTTGTGGGGGGAAAAGTTTAAATGAACATTTAAGACTTTGCCATCATTTCTGGAAAGAGGAGGGACTTGGTGTGGATGTGATATGTTGATACATATAAGAGATGATAGGTAGGGTGGGGATAGGAAAGGGGTTAAAATGAAGACTAGTATCTTAGCTTTCTCACTTTGACAACACTCCTCTCGTTTGTTATGGAAATAAAGCAGTGCTGAGCTGAAAGCCAGTGGGATCAGAGCTAGAGCTGGGTGGGAAACTGTCCTGCAAGGGTTTGAGATTTTGAAATCTTTTCCACATCTCGATCTTGAATCAAGTTGAAAAGTCAAAATCTCGAAGATTCTTGGGATAAGCTGAAAAATATTGAGCCATTGAGTCAATCAGAACAGTTTGCTTTGATAATTTAGGAGCGTTTCGTTCCAATGTTGACCTTTTAAAAATAAATTTTACATTTTCTCTCATGAATTCATGAACATTTCAAAATGAGACGTTGCTTGGAACTAAAAAAAAATAAACTTTCGTTTTGAAAATGTGGAAATGTTATAGACGCTGAGTTTTTAATCTGCTGGAGGGTGTTCCCTCTGGCTCCGCCCCCACTCCACCCCTTCCCCCAAGACCCCACCCCATGCTGCTTATGCCCCTATTTATAGGCCCCACCCACCCTGCTTTGGCCATCATTCCAGAGGACATGCTTTCATGCTGATGACGCTCGTTAAAAAAATAATGCGTTAAATACATTTGTGACGGAACTCCTTGGGTGAGAATTGTACGCCTCCTGCTCTGTTTTACCCGCATTCTGCCATATCATTCATGTTATAGCAGTCTCGGGTGATATCCCCAGCACATGTTGTTCATTTTAAGAACACTTTCACTGCAGATTTCACAAAACGCAAAGAAGGTACCAATGTACCAATTGGGGAGAGGGATAGCTCAGTGGTTTGAGTATTGGCCTGCTAAACCCAGGGTTGTGAGTTCAATCCTTGAGGGGGCCATTTAGGATCTGGGGCAAAACTTGGGGATTGGTCCTGCTTTGAGCAGGGGGTTGGACCAGATGACTTCCTGAGGTCCCTTCCATCCCTGATATTCTATGATTCTATGTGAGATTTCTAAAGATAGCTGCAGCACTCCACCCAACGTTTAAGAATCTGAAGTGCCTTCCAAAATCTGAGAGGGACGAGGTGTGGAGCATGCTTTCAGAAGTCTTAAAAGAGCAACACTCCAGTGCAGAAACTACAGAACCCGAACCACCAAAAAAGAAAATCAACCTTCTGCTGGTGGCATCTGACTCAGATTATGAAAATGACCATGTGTCGGTCCGCTCTGCTTTGGAATCTTATCAAGCAGAACCCATCATCAACATGGACGCATGTCCCCTGGAATGGTAGTTGAAGCATGAAAGGACATATGAATCATTAGTGCATCTGGCACATAAATATCTTGCGATTCCAGCTACAACTGTGCCATGAGAACGCCTGTTCTCACTGTCAGGTGACATTGTAAGCAAGAACTGGGTAGTTTTATCTCCTGCAAATGTAAACAAACTTGTTTGTCTGAGTGATTGGCATAACAAGAAGTAGGACTTGCAGGCTCTAAAATTTTACATGGTTTTTATTTTTGAATGCAGTTTTTTTCTACATAATTCTACATTTGTAAATTCAACTTTCATGGTAAACAGATTGCACGACAGTACTTGTATTAGGTGAATTGAAAAATACTATTTCTGTTGTTCTTTTACAGTGCAAATAGTTGTAATCAAAAATAAATATAAAGTGAGCACTGTACACTTTCAGAGTGTTAGTCTGTATCAGCAAAACCGACGAGGAGTCCTTGTAGCACTTTAGAGGCTAACAAATGTATTTGGGCATAAGCTTTTGTGAGCTAAAACCCACTTCATCAGATGCATGCAGTGAAAATACAGGAGCAGGTATAAATACATGAAAGGATGTGGGGCTGCTTTACCAAGTGTGAGGTCAGTCTAACGAGTGAAATCAATTAACAGCAGGATACCAAGGGAGGAAAAATAACTTCTGAAGTGGTAAGAGAGTGGCCCATTACAGACAGTTGACAAGAGACCTAGTTAAGGTTTAATTTAACTCTGTCACACCATCTAAAAAAACTCCTCTCCCTCTTTAACCCTTCCCATAAATAAGCCCATTGAATTATGTTTAGGATCAAAAGGGTAGGGGGATCATAATGATATAAGAATGGCTATACTGGGTCAGCCCAATGGTCCATCTAGCCCAGAATCCTGTCTTCCGACAGTGGCCAGTGCCAGATGCTTCAGAGGGAATGAACAGAAACAGGGCATTTAGGAGTGATCCATCTCCTGTCATCCAGCCCCAGCTTCTGGCAGTCGGAGGTTTAGGGACACCCAGAGCATGGGGCTCAATCCCTGACCATCTTGGCTAATAGCCAGTGATGGACCTGTCCTCCACAAACGTATCTCATTCTTTTCTGAACCCATTTAGACTTTTGGCCTTCACAACATCCCCTGGCAACAAGTTCCACAGGCTGCCCGTGTGTGGTGTGAAGGAGTACTTCCTTGTTTTGGTTTAAACCTTCTGCCTAATAATTCCATCAGCTGAGCCTTAGTTCTTGTGTTATGTGGTGGGGTGAATGCCACTTCCCTATTCACTCTCTCCACACCAGTAATGATTTTAGAAATCTCTATCATTTGTATTGTGGCTTTATGACATTTTCTATCCCTTTCCTCATGGTGCCTAACAGTCTGTTTGCTTTTTTGAGTGAGGCTACACATAAAGCAGATTTCAGATTTTTTCAGTCAACTATCCCTGATGATACCAAGATCTCGTTCTTAAACGGTAACAGCTAATTTAGACCCCATCATTTTATATATAGTTGGGATTTCATTTTCCAACATGCATCACTTTTAACTTATCAAGGCTGAATTTAATCTGCCATTTTCTTGCCCAGTCAATGAGATCCCTTTGTAACACTTCACAATCAGCTTTGGGCTTACCTAGCTTGAGTAATTTTGTGCCATCTGCAAATTTTGCCACCTCACTGTTCACCCCCTTTTTCCAGATCATTTATGAATATGCTGAAGACCACAGGTCCCAGTACTGCGCCCTGGCCCACTATTTCCCTCTCTCCACTGTGAAAAGTGACCATTTATTCCTTCCCTTTGTTTCCCATCTTTTAACCAGTCACTGATCCGTGAGAGGATCTTCCCTCTTATCCCGTGACTGCTTAGTTTGCTTAAGAGTCTTTGCTGAAGGACCTTTGTGACAATCAAAGTCCAAACACCCCAGGGGGACAATTGGGGGTCTGAACCCTGAATAATAAGCAATTGAGTCAGATACACTATTATTGTACTATAAAAGTGTATCGAGGGCAGTCTTTTATGAAAGCTGGTGATATGCTGGTGATTAATATGACAGTGAAATGTCTGTATTAACTCTCATGTGACAAATT